GTTGAAGGTATAGTATGATTTAATTTAAACATTCGTACGCATTCAACGTCAGACTCAGTAAATACTAGATGAAACAAATGATCAAAATGATTACTAAGTTTTTGTCAACTATTTGGTGGGGATTCAAATTCAAATTCAAATTAAAAATCATTTATTTCAACTTAGATGTCAGTATGACACACTTGTTGAATGTCAAAATACAAATAACAATGTTAACTCTACCACCGGTTCCAAAAAAAGCCACAGTCCTGAGAAGAACCGGCGAAACAAACTCAGCGGGCTTTTTTTTTTTGTTTTTTCTCAAATATTTTTTTTTTTTTAAATAAATAGAAATATTCACAATAAAAGAAANAAAAATCATTTATTTCAACTTAGATGTCAGTATGACACACTTGTTGAATGTCAAAATACAAATAACAATGTTAACTCTACCACCGGTTCCAAAAAAAGCCACAGTCCTGAGAAGAACCGGCGAAACAAACTCAGCGGGCTTTTTTTTTTTGTTTTTTCTCAAATATTTTTTTTTTTTTAAATAAATAGAAATATTCACAATAAAAGAAAAAACAAGTCAAAAAAATACAATTAAAAAAATAATAATAATAATGAAAAATGAAAAGGCCAGGAGCGAGCGCCTCATTCCCACGTAGTGCCATCTAGTAAATAATCCTTAATTTTATAATATGCCTTGTTGCACAAACGTTCCTTAACAGTTTTCTTAAATCTATGAACAGGTAGTAGTTGAACGTTTAGGATTATAGGGGATATATTACATATTATAATAAAAATTTCATTTCAATTTTTTTACTGTTTTCATTGAAAGACCAGCTTTCTCGTGTTGAATATTGGCAAAAAATCTTGACACGAAACGTGTTTTCATATCTTGATAAATACTAATGCAACCCTATAAGTTATTTGAAGTGCGAAAGAAAAAATTGGCACGCCAATTTATCCACTCGTTTGATCATTTTAAATCGTTTCATGGGAACGGCACGTGGAGTTAGAACCGGATCATTGGAAAATAAATCATTTAAACATTTAGGCATGGATTCTGTTACATATGCTATAGTATCTTACCTTCTGAATTATAGTAAAATTTTGCAAAATAAAGTGTGTATTATGTCTTTCCTTTTTCAACCTGCGTCCACCCAATGCCGAGTGGAGGTCTCTTTATATACACTTCATTATTTTCGGCCAATGTATTAAACCGACGCAAAGTAAAAACTTGTCTCAAGTACGTTCTGAATAAACTTAGATTAAATATTGACTACGATAAAGTATAGCTCACACACAGTATAATTACTGAAGAATTATTTTACTATATACTTTTTAGAGAATCGAAAGCGATTGCACAAATTGAATGGTGTTGTAATACTAAAATCTGTACAACATTATGTCACACCTTAATTTTGTTCAAGCTTCAGAGTGAGTTCTGAAGTGGAAACTAAGTGATAGATTTAAGTCGTCGTGGCCTAAGGGATAAGACGTCCGGTGCATTCGTATCGAGCGATGCGCCGGTGTTTGAATCCCGCTGGCGGGTACCAATTTTTCTAATGAAATACGTACTCAACAAATGTTCACGATTGACTTCCACGGTGAAGGAATAACATCGTGCAATAAAAATCAAACCCGCAAAATTATAATTTGCGTAATTACTGGTGGTAGGACCTCTTGTGAGTCCGCACGGGTAGGTACCACCGACCCGCCTGTTTCTGCCGTGAAACAGTAATGCGTTTCGGTTTGAAGGGTGGGGCAGCCGTTGTGACTATACTGAGACCTTAGAACTATATCTCAAGGTGTGTGGCGCATTTACGTTGTAGATGTCTATCGGCTCCAGTAACCACTTAACACCAGGTGGGCTGTGAGCTCGTCCACACATCTAAGCAATTAAAAAAAAAAGTAATAATATATTGAAGTAAGTAAAAGTATGAAACGACGGTTGACCTGATACTGATAAGGTAGCTGCAATAACGCAGAAATTAATTTTTAAGCCCACGTCTTTACGGATCCATCAGATCCAATAACTCTTGTATTAGATAACTTCAGCTCTAACACTAGGAGCAGGCTTAGGGACCCCGGTAACCGTAATCGTCGAACTCGGCAAAGAGCTCGACGTGCAACTTAACCCATGCATCAGTCCGCTGAGTACCTCGCCGGATCTTCCCAGCGGGTCGCGATTCCGATCCGGTAGTAGATTCATTCGCAAAGCAGACGCTTTTGAGTTGTTAGGTCTGCTTTGGAGGCACTCGGGCAGCTCTTAGCAAATCCTACTCGTCCTGGCTGAGCCTTTGCTCGACCACTTGTCCTGGTGAAACTAGTAAGGTCTCTGGGCCACCGTCTCTCATTCAATAAAAAACGACTAGGATTCAAGCTATTAGATAGAGCTGTTAAAACAATATTGTTGACTTCGACCTTATGTCTTATTTAACAGTTAACATATAGATCGCTGTTGTCTAGAACATTAACTTAACATTATCAAATCTTGTTTTTCTAAGAAAGGTTTTTAAGAAAGGAAAACCAAAAATTACGCCTCGTAAGGCACTGTAGAGTGTGGTTCCATGTAGTGTGAGTGAACTGTGCTGCAGTGGTCCGGTGGTATGATTTAAAGAAGATGACAGGACCATCTCCAATAATTACTTAAATTATTTATTCTCACTGCTACAAATGAGAGAAAATAAAGAACTGTGTAGACTAGAAAATGTTCTTTTTTAAAGCTGTAATTATTTCATAATTGTTTTCTGTTTCGCTATTAATATTAACGGTAACGTCACCTTATGCTTTAACTATACCCTAAAGTAATTATACCATACCATAAATACTACCTATACTATACTATATAATACTCTTTATATGTACCTATATTACTCGTGAAATTGTTATGTATTCCAATTTACAAAGAGGGACCGTTAGAAAATACAATAGAGTCTTCGTTCTCATATCTCTTGGAGGTGTGAGCAGCCAGCCTTGTTGTCCTATATTTAAAAAAATATATATATCCAAAGATATCTATATCTACATTTACTTTGATCTATATACAATCAAGTGAAACAGATAAGTTCGATGTTGGTGAATTTTGAAATGTTTGTTGGACGGGTGTGTCGCCACATGTGGGTGCAGTGTTACATAAACCTTAATAGATAGCAATTAGCTAAAAAGCAGGCTTTCTAAGGCCCTAGAAATATAGAATTAGAGCAACAAGCGTGGGACTATTGGTTTTGAAATGTAATGATCGAACTAGTGATTGATTTCGGTCGAGATGCGATCAAGAACTTTATGTACAACGGCAGGTTGATTGAAAATATGGCTTCACTTACCCCTTTAATGAATTAAAGTACTTAATTCAAAAAGCAAGATAGTAAAGTTGAAAAATTGTGTTTGTTGTCCATAAAAGCAGTGACCGACATATTATAATTTAAAATGCGATTGTTAAAAACATTTAAATTGCAAAAATGTGCTAAATAAAGCACTGTTTTAGGATATTATCTTTAGATAGGTAAAAAACGGTCCCAAATAGAAAGTGAGAGACCTTTTTTAAAATAAAGCTGTTTAAAAAGTCTTGAACAATTTCGACACGAAGGAGGAAGCTACATTAACTGGAAAATGTACACTAGAATCAATTTAAGAATACGATATGCCTTAAAATTATTTCGTCTTTCCAAAATGACACCATTAAGCCTTCATTGCGTGATCTGACATTGTTTGCTAAAATTATTTGTATATTTCAATAGGTATTTACTTGATTGAATATCCGTTACATTTATATATAAGTACACTGCTTAGTAAGTCCACGAGCGTATGGGGATTAGAATCAAAATGGCTTAAAGCTTAGTTAGTACATTCATCGTGAATTGTCTGAAATGGTGGGGTTTTATATTTATAAAGGAACTGCTATGTGGTTTATGTGTACCTTATCGAGTTTGTGTTGTGAAGTGCACATTGATAACTAACATGCAGGTGAGTTTGATATTACGTTTAGTAAAAAATTTGGTAAACAAAAAATGTGAATCACAACTTTTTTTATTATAACGTACCTAAAATAATATGGAAATAATAAAATTAAATCTACCACCATTTTATATGTACACCACAACGATTCAAAATTCATACATTTTTTTTTGTTGCGTATGAATAATTTATTTTTAATTTCAATACAGTTTGTGAGGTAAATGCTTTTCAAAGTAATAATTTCATCTTGTTTATTTATTGAAACAACAAAATTTTAATATTCATAGCCCTGTCCCGAAAATAACAGAAAAATATGTATTTTTTAATCAGAATAAAATAAAGCACCGTTATTTAATAATGAATAGACAAAAAAATCCTTTCAGCTGATGTACTCACTAAATTAGCTGATTGTTAATAAGCTACCAAACTTAATTACGCGTGGTCAAAGCACATATAATATGATTTTCAAAAAAATACACATTTTTCAGTGTCCAGACCTCTGCCATAAGACGGTACAATATCTTGGTGCTCCACATAAAAAATAATACCTGTGTGCTTAGTGTGAAATTTTTAACTTCTCGATCGCGTAGAAGTAAATTGGAACAGCTTCCTTTCGTTTGCCGCTAGGGGCGCTGTTCCAACTCCATACAAATTTGAGTAACTTTTACGCGATCGAGAAGTTAAAAGACTCACATATTAAAAGACTCGAAGCACACTGGTGTAGAACTCCTCCTAATCCACTAACGGTGCTGTTAGGTACCTCAAGCACCGGTCATCGTTCTCGTCAAGGGCTCGACGAGTATATTATCCCACAGACACAGCCCACTGAGTTTCTCGCCGGATCTTCTCAGTGGGTCGCGTTTCCGATCCGACGGTAGATTCTGCGAAGCACGGCTCTTGCTAGGGTTCGTGATAGCAATGTCGTCAGGTTTTAGTCGTCACCTATTAGTTAAGGTTACCCGGAATAGTCTTTCAAGGCCACCAGCATAAGTAGGAAAAAAAGGTGTAGAGCCTGTTCGTTATGTGACAGTGGATACAAACATTAACATTGCCAATAGATGCTGATACTGTTGGCGTTTGTGGGCACTTCGTTAGCCGCCCCAATCGACTACTTCCATGGTGGGGTGTCATATGCATCACCGTATGCAGTGCACGCTCCTCTGACGGTCCACGCTGCTCCTGTGGCTGTCCACGCGGCTCCCCTGGTAGCACACACCCCAGTCGCGGTTCATACGGAAACTGTAGTAAGTTGAAACAAATAAATAATTACTTTAAACTATTATTTATTTTTCATTTTTTAGTTGAATATCATATTTTTCAATATTTTTTTTTAAATTGAATTTTCATCGGACCTTAATAAGTATACCAAATTTCGAGTTAATCCAACGTTTTGAAGGGGGTCAAAATCGTGTTCAAAGATTCCGTTACAAACATACATACGTCTGAAGCTAATAAAAGCGTATTAAAAAGGTGCATTTTTTTATATTGGAATGAATCATTATCTTGTTAGTAATTCGTTTTTAAAACACATTTCTTGAGCTTTTAAAGTTAATGAAGCAAATTCCGGAAGCTCCAGCTGTTTGGATTTGAACTGTAAACAGAATTTTAAATGATTTGAAGTAAAACTTCTGTCATTCCGTGAACGGGTTTGTTTATTTTAATCGGGCAAGTTATGCTCAATTTATGCTTTTGCTATTCTGTCCAATAAGCCTCTCTGTTATCTTAAATCAAAACACAGCAGTGGACTTTTTTAGTAATGCTGAAACATTATAATATTACAAACAATTTTAACTAGTTCTAAATACTCTAATAAAAACATTTTAAGTTTTATGATATAATAGGCACGAAATATTATACCTATTTTTAATTTCACATATTTGAAGCAATGCTCCGCGAAGGGCTCGGCGAGTAAATTAACCCACAGACACAGCTTCACACAGTTTCTCGCTGGATCTTCTCACTGAATCGCGTTTCCGATTCAGTGGTAGATTCTGCAAAGCTCTGCTCTTGCTAGGGTTAGTATTAGCAACGTCGTCAGGTTTGAGCCTTGTGAGCTCACCTACTTCTTAGTTTACGCAGACATAGCCTCACAAGGCTATCAGCTTAGGTAGGAAAAAAAAACACTTTTTTGTCCATAGTTTTTAAATTTTTTATTGCCCTGGTAGGCAGACGAGCGCACGGCCCACCTGATGGTGAGTGGTTACCGTCGCCCATGGACTTCAGCAATGCCAGGGGTAGAGCCAAGCCGCTACCTACCGCTCATAGTCTTCATTCTTTGTTCTTTGTTCATAGTTGCTAATAAACTGGGCCAGTTTTATTTTTTCAGTTACATTCTATATACTGTACAATTTATAATACCTTTGCAAATTTTAACATCGACTGACACCGTGTCTACAAAGTGTAAATTTTTAATCAATGCGATGTTCGCAATTGTATGCTATTTCTAATACCAAAAGGTTATTGTACTGTGTTAAGAATCAGAAAGCAAACAATGAATGAAGCTGATGTTTTCTTGAGCGTAAATTTCCTTTATATATTAATTTATCCTCAAATTTTTTTATTGCTTATATGCGTGGACGAGCTCACGGCCCACCTGGTGTTAAGTGGTTACCGGAGTCCATAGATATCTACAACGTCAATGCCGCCACCTACCTTGAGATATGAGTTCTAAGGTCTCAGTTTTAATGGCTGCCCTACCCTTCAAACCGAAACGCATTACTGCTTCGCGGCCGAAATAGGCAGGGGGTGGTGGTACCTACCCGTGCGGTCTCACAAGAGGTCCTACCACCAGTGAGTAAGTAAGTAAATTATCCTCAAAATGTCTCTTATATGAAAGCATGGTAAGGTCTTAAATTATTCGCTGTAGAAATGTTTGTGCCATCATAGAATAATCTTTTGCATAGTAACAAATAACTACCACATCATTATGGAAACAATAACCACTATGCGCACGTACTAGTACTAATAATCTTAATTTTTTTTCTCATTTATGTTAACCTTTTTTAAATTCATATTAAACTAGAGAATAAGTTTTAATTATTTTTTTACGTACATGGGTAACAGAGCTCAAGGCACAGTGGCCCAGTACAAAACGGTTTTCGGAGCTCACAGACCTCACAATGTGAATGCCACCACCACCCTTCACCTTCCCTTCACCTACAGAAATCAGTTGAAGTCTCAATCTTATCGTTAAAAGGTTGTCCCACCTTGCAAACCGCGCATCGCTCTGAAACTACATTGCGCTGCTTTGTCTAAGTCTCATCGGCATCATCTTAGGCCTTACATCTGAAAGTGCACAAGGTCCAAAATGTCTACATCTGCCTTAATATAATCTTGTGTGCTTGGAGTTTTTTTTATAGACACCGACTTGGCTGTGCCCCTGATATTGCTGACGTCCTTGAGCGACGACAATCGCTCACCATTAGGTGGCCCCTACGTTTGTCTGGCTATAAAGGCAAAAATAAATGTGGCCTAAAATGGCATAGCAATGTGGTGTCTGTAGACTGTACTAGTTCATTTTAATTTGCAGACAAGACCATGTGGCTCCTAGATACAACACAGTCGACGCCGCTGCTATATTCAGACAAGACACAGAAACCTCAATTGGATAGAAAACGTTTTCCCTATTTTTCAAACCAAAATGAATGATTAATTCATAGCAGAAATAAACCGACGCGCGGTGGTACATATCTCACAATGCTTTCTGTGACCAATGGATGCCAGTTTGTAGAATTCTGGTATAATATAATGGTTTAGCTCTATATTGTTAACGCTTCTACTCATTGTCCAGTGAATAATTTAACCACAGAACCAAATAACCATAGACACCCACAGAAAGAGATGAGGTGATGCCACTCTACGTTGACATCGCTTAGGCAAAATATGCTATATGAATATACATATATTTGCTTACAAATGTTATTTATTTTTGTAGAGCTATCCAAAGTACGCGTTCAACTACGGTGTCAAGGACCTTCACACCGGCGACATCAAGTCTCAGCAGGAGCAAAGGGACGGTGATGTCGTCAAAGGTCAGGCTTTGAATAAATCTAGTAGGCCAAATGTTAGATTGTGTAAACAATAATTAGACGTACGAACGTGAACAAATAGGTTATGTGATAAAAAAAAACAATCACCGTTTCCCTGAAAAGTTTTAGTGATACGTGACTCGCTTTTGCATTTTTACAAATTTAAGAAATTCATCTGTAAAGCGTATCGTTGTTGGGAGTAATTAATATACACTAAAGAGAATTTTTTAAGTTAATGCATAGATTTTATCGCGGGCCTTGAGAGTGGAATCGTGAAATTCCGTAACGAAAAAAACCTTCCACCCCTCACTACGCCCCTACTATGTAGCTCCGAGCTCGCGTTCAACATATTCACACGTTGCGCTTGTTTAGTGTTGAAAGTAAGAAGTTTAAACACCGATTTATGTACTATCAAAATATGTGATATAATTTCGTGGGTAACACAACGATAGCGCGATTCAGCTTTTGCGTCAAGCGCCATCTATCGGCGACAAACGGAATTGTAAAATAGAAAATTATATCACATTACAATGCGTTGGGCGTGCCATTTTCTATTGCTTAATCGAAGAATTTTATTACTACTCCTACTACTCATTCAGTGATTGGAGTGGCATTAAAAATAAACTAGCTAAACCGTTGATTCTGGGCGAATGAGAGTTAGAACTAGCATCCAAAGCGCGTCTCTATCCCATGTAGCGCCCTCTAGTGAGTGCGCTGTCAAAATGGAATACTCACAATGTAGCAGATTCATTGAAAGTTAGCCCAGTGAGTTTCTCGTCGGATCTTATTTTATTGTTGTTTTAATATTAAATTATTATTGTCGATTTATAATTGCATAAGTTGATAAAATGCTATGCAATAGCTGTACTGCGGCAGTCTCCGAGTGCAACACGTCTTTTTTTTGTTAAATATTGATAGTGTTCTTAAAATGATAATAGTTCTTATTGCATTGTCTGTTATAATAAATGAAAAATAAACAACTTAAAATTCTCATACATCCTATAGCCCCGGCTAGGATTGTTTCGTATTGTGAGTACAAGTAACGCACAAGGAGGTGAATGATACTAACAGAGATACTGATACTGACTGAGACTTGTATCCGTAAAATATTCAGGGTCTTTAACCACTAGATAAACGAAGCAATTGCCCCACGAGAAGATTTATATCAATATTAGTAAATATTTATATGCGCCTTGAGTTGCGTTAATGTAGAAAATAAATTACATCCCAAGGGAATAGTACTTTTTTTCAGGATGAAATGTATTTTATGTCCTTTTCTGTGTGCTTAGTGCGAGTTTTTTAACGTTCTCGCTAGCGTAAAAGTACTATTGAAGACGCGTATGCAAAATTTCACGTTGATCGATTTGATAGTAAAATATAATATGTGATAGCTTAAAAACAAATTAATTTTCGCATTGAAATTATTAGTATTGATCGTATTAATATTTATAGCATTTCATTTCCAGGCAGTTATTCACTAGTGGAACCGGACGGCACGACCCGCACAGTGCACTATACAGCCGATGACCACACCGGATTCAACGCTGTTGTACAGAAATCGGGACATGCTGCACATCCGGTAAGTTTAGGGTTGTCATTTAATTTGCTATCGTAAACTAAAAAATCATTTAGAAGGTTTTGATTTGTATTTGAAAATACATAGAAGAGTAGATTGAAACACGTATAAATACATAGAAGATGATGTCATTATAAGTCTAATTTAATGAAAATACTTAGGATACAACTTTGAATTAATATTCAATAAATTCATTTGAAATTTTTTAATAAGAAAGAGGTAGAGAACAAAATATAAATTTAGTCAAAAATTAAGTAATCGGCAATTTTTTTTAATTCAAAATATTATATAGGTCAAATACGCATGCTCAACCCTCTTGAGTTACTATTACTTTTTACTTACTGTTCATACTGGTCATACTGAGTTACTGTGGCTGTTAGTAATTATTGCCATTACATTAGTTATTTATGTGGTAGTAGGTAGTATTCAGTAGTATTACCTCATTTTAATCTTCTCCCATTTTCTTTTTTGAGTATTTGTAGGACTTGTTTTGTACTATCCGGTCTATTACAGCCGTGAAGCAAACATACGTCCTGTTTTAAAGAGTTTCATTACCCTTATTGCAAATGATTCAAAACTTTGATCACAAACCTTATTTCTTATTGCTGAGAAGACCTTGAGCATATCTTCGCATCCACGAGAATAAAAAAATAATATTAATTATTAACTAAGCGCAGCCCTACGTAAGCGTCACAGTAAGTTTAATTCATCTCTGTATAGTGCGCACTGAGCGTCGTTGCAACAAACATTACACAATCTTACGAGTTTTATCTTTATCTATAGAAGTTTTTCATTTTTAACAAGCTACAGAGAAGCGTGTTTAGTTTTAAGTGCTCTTTCCGAATGGACCTAACTTACATAGTTTGTTTGCGAAAACGAATACAAGTAAATTAATCTAATGAATCCAGTTATAAAGACATTGATGCTTGTGATTTTGATTAATAATTTCCTACATAATACTCACGGGATGTCTTCTTATTACTTAAACACAAAAATTGTCTGGATTGATTTAAGTATTGCGATATAAAATATTATGATTTATTTATATTATATTCACGAAGCTATCTTTATATATTTATTTCTTCTGTGCGTGTGTTTGTCACTGAACTCCTCCTAAACGGCTGGACCGATTTGAATGATTTTTTTGGTATGCGTTTGGGTGGCACCCTGGATGGTTTAGATTCACAAATCAGCCCGGTAGATGCCGCTGCAGTCGGTATATAGTAATTTTTTATCTTTCCTAGAAATAATTTATATGAAAAAACAACGTTTGCCGGGTCAGCTAGTTGCCATATAAAATACAATGATTTATTTATAACATATTGATGAACTTATTTAATTTCGTTATCACGTATTCAATCTATACTAATATTATATTATATTATAAAGATTATAAAGAGGGAAGATTTGTTTGTTTGTTTCGAATAGGCTCCGAAACTACTGGACCGATTTGAAAAATTCTTTTTCCATTAGAAGCCGACATTGTCCCTGATGAACATAGGCTACTTTTTTTTATTTTTTTATTATTTTATTTTTTGGTTTCATGTGTGTTTTAATGTTTCCGAAGCGAAGCGAGGGCGGTTCGCTAGTTATCAATATAATTATTTAGGGTATTAATAGCGAGAAAACAAAACGGTACAGACAAACTCACTGACTTACTCATTATTATCGTAATTATCGTGTGTCATTTAAATGCTGGTACTAAATTCTGATGCCAGAGATAAGTAATTTAGAAACGTCATTTCTTCGTGTTTACTTAAAGCTTAAGCTTGCGTAAAAACAAACAGCGCGGTTCCTTATATGGAGCTTAAGTTAACGATTATCGCCTATAAAATAAATGTAGCAGTTTATAAGAGGAACATAAATAATTTACCGCTTACCCTTACCTGTAGAAGAAGATATTAGAATATTATGCATTGAAAATGCAAGATATTAGTTCGTTTTTGGCCGTCTCTCCGGAATTTATGCTAAGAGAAATATATTAATCTAGTTAGTAAATTATAATAACTAACTGTAATAATACCAAGTTGACCATAGAGTTAATGGCGTCAATTTGTTTTCGCAATAGAAAGCTTTGTTCAACTTCTTTATTGTTATCGGTCGAGTAATCATAGCCTTGAACCATTAAATAGGCACTGCACTTTTATCAATTTCAGAGAAAAATATCTAAATCTTGACAGTTAATCTTTCGAAACATATGATTTCGTAACATTGGCATACAATTATGTATTATTTTTCTAGCTTTAATTTAGGGAATTGCGGGGCAGCCGTTGTATCTATACTGAGACCTTAGAACTCTTATCGCAAGGAGGGCGGCCGCATTTACGTTGTAGATATCTATGGGCCCCGATAACCACTTAACACTAGATGGGCCGTGAGTTCGTCCACCCATCTATAAAATCAATAATAATAATTAAAAAAAAATACATGTGTGCAATTCACACGTGGTAGAAGTGAAACCTTCCAAAATTAAAATACAATTATCCTAAACGTCTTAAGTATATGTAAAATTTTGTCATTAGTAAATAATTGTAAGGTAGCGCCCTCTGTGAATTGATATTTTAATTTCACGTATAATCCTAAATTAAAATTCACTACAAGAGCTTTCATANGAGGTTCCCACCTGCATCGGTCAGAGTATTCATTGATTTCCGTCTATGACCAACCATTTCCTTGATGTGCTTGTGCGCATTGAAGCTGTCATGTTTACGAAGGAGATCTTCCAAGTGCGCGCACTTATTGCTGTAGTAATCATTCTTGGCTTTCGCAATCTCTTTTCGAATGGTGACATCGATTTGCTTATACATTACTGGATTTGTACTGGATTTGTACTGAGACCTTAGAACTGTTATCTCAAGGTGGGCGGCCGCATTTACGTTGTAGATATCTATGGGCCCTGATAACCACTTAACACCAGGTAGTCGTCGTGGTCTAAAGGATAAGACGTCCGTTGCATTCGTATCGAGCGATGCACTGGTGTTCGAATCCCGCAGTCGGGTACCAATTTTTCTAATGAAATACGTACTTAACAAATGTTCACGATTGACTTCCACGGTGAAGGAATACCATCGTGTAATAAAAATCAAACCCGCAAAATTATAATTTGCGTAATTACTGGTGGTAGGACCTCTTGTGAGTCCCCACGGGTAGGTACCACCGCCCCGCCTATTTCTGCCGTGAAGCAGTAATGCGTTTCGGTTTGAAGGGTGGGGCAGCCGTTGTGACAATACTGAGACCTTAGAACTCTTATCTCAAGGTGTGTGGCGCATTTACGTTGTAGATGTCTATGGGCTCCAGTAACCACTTAAGACCAGGTGGGCCGTGAGTTCATCCACCCATCTATAAAATCAATAATAAGAATAAATGATTAATGTATTTGATTTATTTGTTTTTAGGTCGTCGCTCATGTAGCACCTGTAGCCCATGTCGCAGCTGCTCCAGCCTATACAATCCCACACTACGGCTTCCACTAAACAACTTGAACACTACAGATCTGCTTACCATCGAATATTCTTAGGACTGGAATCTATCAATGTATCAACTAGTTCGAACTTTGGTCATTAACCACATGTTTGTACAAGTCAGAATAAATACAGGCTAGTTCTAGTCTTTAACTCTAGCAATAACCGTTAGTTGTAAAGTTTAAAGTAAAAGACTACGGTCTAAATTAAATAGGAACATATTATATTACGTAGAACATATATAGACGTTTATTAAGCATCTTAAAAGTACAAGTTTCTTATATTTCTCTTTTACATGTTGTATTCAGATTGCGAAATGTATTTTTTTTTAATTTGCGGGGATTATGATCTCAGCGTTTGTATCATTGAATTGGTTTAAAATATTATGTTATATTTGTAAGCGAAACAAATAAACTATATTTAATATATGAAGTTTAATGAGAAATCGTTTTTATTACTTAACAACAAAAACAATTGAATTATTTTTACATCGAGAGACTAGTATAAATGGATTTCAGTCACCTCACTATATGGAGAAAGGATGTTAGTACCTATTTTCAAATAATAGTTGTAAGTATATAATTATTTACTATACTATACTTAACAATACTAACTAACTAAACTGAGACCTTAGAACTTATATCTCAAGGTGGGTGGCGCATTTACGTTGTAGATGTCTATGGGCTCCAGTACCCACTCAACACCAGGTGGGCTGTGAACTCGTCCACCCATCTAAGTAATAAAAAAAAAGTTTTTTGTTTTGAAATCGTCTTGGACTAAAGAATAATTACACCCGTCGCGTCGTATCGAGGGCGACTATACCGGTGTTCAATATCGCAGGCAGGTAAAAAAAATGTAATGAAATATGAACTACATTTTTGTTCAACATTGACTTCGACGACAGCACCCTGCCCCTTTCCACCGCGAAGCAGTAATGTGGTTTATAGTTCGAGGATAGGGTGGCCGTTTTAAAATAGAGCTGAGACTCATGTCTCAAAGTGTTGTCTCAAGTCTCATTTACGATGTTGATGTTCCTGGCTTCGGTAACCACTTAACATCAGCTGGACCGTGAGCTTGCTCACCTATCTAAGAAATAAAGAAATGGCGTACGATATTAAAACAATATGTCCTAGTCTAGACCTAGATTATCTATCTTCGAAGGTAAGGATAATAGTATAATGACTATGTTGCATAGCGCAATTAACTATTATTTTGTAAATTCATTAACTGTGTGATTTTCTAACAAACTACAACCTGAAGTTCTATGCCATTTTTTTCTAATGTTAAGCAAAGGTGCCTATTTGTATTGCTGTGAAATCCATGGACTACAAAGCTGACTATGCCGCTATGGAAAACAAATTATGGCGATATTTTATAAAAACAAAATACCGCGTTATGTATTAAAAAAAGAAGAAGTACTGAGTTTGGATATTCGCAATAAATTACAAATTTAGATGACGTAATTTTTTTGTGCGTTTAGTTTCAATGACGTTCATCTTCAAAAATTGGGTTTTAAAAGTAATTAATTATTCTAAAGGGATTTGCTTCAAAATTGTTAGTAAGTTACTTAAAAAAATCAAGATTTACTTAAACAAAATGTTTTTTTTTTTCCTTTTCCAAAAGCCCGCATGGTGACTAACTAGAATAGATTCACCTTTACCATCACTTTAGTTATTGTTATTGCTGTTGTTTTTTTTTAATATATGTAAATATTCAGTAAGCCAATAAACACATTTTAGTATTATAGCAAATAGAAATATAATATATGATATTTTTAATCCTGGCTATCCTTGTGTCAGTTAAAGTTCAAGTAAATCGTATTCTGTATTTGGGAATGACGAGTTTTCAATCAAATTTGATTTATAAAATTGAAGGTCAATAAACTTATAAATTATGGTCCGCACTCCGTTGATAGGTCTATAAAAGTATTTATATATATCCCATAAAAGCTTAATACAGAGGAAGATATAAAAACCTACGACAAACTGAAAATGGCAATAACGGTATAATGTCTGACGCACACTTTAAAATTATGTGTTTCGAAGATAAACTGTACTTTGAAGAAAATACTTTGTTCGTTCGTCTGACATTAATTTTATAACTATATATACTATGGATAATTGATATATATACTTTATATTTTATATAAGCAGCTACAGTACATTTTATATAACCAGCAATGTCATGAAAAAATAGATCATTCTGATGTTATTTGTTATTTGAAGGAAGCACTTTGATCAACGATACGAGTATAAATGTTTCTTTTTCTTATGCCCGAAATATTGGCGATGAGAAATATGGGCATGCGCAATTAAAAAGAGGAAAACGCGACAAAAATATAAATTAAAATTAAAATGATCAGCAAATAAGTCAGAGCTCGTCGTATCGTCTTAATTACTTAGTAGTTAAGTAAATGATATTAAGTAAAAGTGCACCTGACAGGAATGCCAGTCTTAAAGATGAACCTGTTATAAAAAAAAGACGTGTGGTGTCGTAGGACACCGGATAGGAACGAAGTTCCTTGTTATAAAATTATTAATTTAAAATTCTATTCGAGGTATAAAGAAAACTTATTGTGGTACACTTCATTCACGGTTGTTTGCATAAGAGTTAGTGTATTGGGCAAACGAACGTTCTGAGATCGTGGTCAATGAATGATAAAAAGATATGTAATTTTTTGTACGTTATTACAAAGTTAAGTCGTACACTGTGTGCATTACTAATAAAAATCTTACGTTACGGACGTTTTTTCCCGGTTAGGGTACCCTTCCGCATCGCCCCATCAGGAACTTCGTTCCAAAAATATATAAATAACTCTACTTTGTAACAAATCTTTTTCGATCGTGTTTAAAGGTAATTGTGTAAAAGACACAATGCGATTTAGTCATGTCCAAACGTACTTTAATCAAATTGCGTCGATCACTGAGTTGTTTGAAAAAGTACAGGTGACAGACCAAATTACAAAAACATAGCATTTCAGAAGAGGAGGAGAGCAGCGACGGTAGAGCAAACGACGAGAACGAGGTAGAATGGAAGACACGAAAACAGTCGAGTACTCATTATGGTTGGATTTACAGAGAGGGGAAAATTGTATATATAGGTGGATTAGATGAAAACTAATCTGTCATGAAAATGTAAACATTGAGATGACCTTTAAGAGAAACATCGGCATAACAATAAACAAGAAACGGCAACTAATGTTATTCGTCAACAAAAAAAAGCTTTTTTCTTTGAACTAGTTCGTAAATTTATGCAATTAAATGAATTAATTTATTATAAATTTATTTATTTATAAATGAATTAATTTGTCACTGGTGGTAGGACCTCTTGTGAGTCCGCACGGGTAGGTACCACCACCCCGCCTATTTCTGCCGTGAAGCAGTAATGCGTTTCGGTTTGAAGGGTGGGGTAGCCGTTGTAACTATACTGAGACCTTAGAACTTATATCTCAAGGTGGGTGGCGCATTTACGTTGTAGATGTCTATGGGCTCCAGTAACCACTTAATACCNGTGGTAGGACCTCTTGTGAGTCCGCACGGGTAGGTACCACCACCCCGCCTATTTCTGCCGTGAAGCAGTAATGCGTTTCGGTTTGAAGGGTGGGGTAGCCGTTGTAACTATACTGAGACCTTAGAACTTATATCTCAAGGTGGGTGGCGCATTTACGTTGTAGATGTCTATGGGCTCCAGTAACCACTTAATACCAGGTGCGCTGTGAGCTCGTCCCCCATCTAAGCAATAAAAAAAAAAAAAAAATGTTTTTAAGAAGAATTTGATTATCTTTCATCAAATTTCTTTTTTTTATACATTTTTCACATTTATGTTTCGTTCGAATAATCTTCAAAAATTTCATTGACCATTTTTCACTAATATTAATAAGTAAAATAATATATGAGTGTATTGACTAGGATAAGTAAGTTGTGAACTTGCAGCATTTCATCTCGAGCAGTTCTTGCTTGACAGCTTTAAGATTTCACCGAGTACATTCATTATTTGAGAGCGGTTCAAGTCCTTGTTGCACACGATTTTAGGCCGTTTGCTTTATGGATTAGAATTGAATTTTTCAAGTCGTAATATTACTGCAAGTGGTTGAACATTGAAATGATAGCGTAAAGCATATTTTCAATCTTTGAATTTAGTCCTTAAGGTCCAGTTTACGAACGCACAATTGCAGAGGAGTACTAGAATTGATATTTGCAAATAAAATAACAAAAACGAACCTCCGAGCATTCGCGACAAAAGTTAGTGTCTTAATTAAATAGAACGAGTTAAGTACATTAACCTATAGGTAAATACATATAATGGTGTCCATAGAGCTTTCTTTGTCGCGTTCAGTTCCTTACTTGACAGTATGACATCAGTGCAAACGGATATGGGCGAAATTGCCTTCACCCACAAACTGTTTTGTTTTTTGCCGACGAAAAACATACTAAAAGTAGAGGACTGATACGAGGATCTCGCATGTGAATCGCGACCGTCATCTCGTATGTACGAGGTTTTGTTTTCTCTTTCGATAGCACACGAAAGAAACAAAATTGAATAAAGTTATTACAAAATGAGAGTCTATGTCGGGGTAAGTAATTTCACTATTATTATTTTTTGTACTAAATCGGTCACTACATTTTTTTGTTAAACATTAATGATCAAAAGGGCTGAAAATCATCATTCAATTAAAATCAAAGGGATTGACCGTTGGAAATACGAGTTATTTAGTCTTAATTAAAACTACTATGACAGTTAAGCCTCGTGTTTATTAATTAGTCACTGACGTTCTGTCATCCGAGACGACGAAAACTGTAAAGTTTAGTATTCGTGACGTCACAAATAATAAAAAGAAAATAATACACGTGAGATTAATCTGTGAAAGGAGTTTTAATTATGTCTACAACTCGCGAAAGTCGAAGAAGACACTTTAGTGAGTTATTGGTTGTTTGATGATATTTTTAATGAGAACTTTAGACAAATACACCGACGACAGTGTAATAAAGTATCTGAAGAGAAAACGACGGATAACGTAAAATGAGACATATTTTATTTCATTATTTTCATATCTAAAACCATAATTACTTTTATGGTTTAATTTCGCATTTTGTAACCAATGATGAACAGTTTCGTACCCGCGAAAGAGAATGAAAATATCATATATACCTATATATACCTAGCTGGTTTTATATATTTTTTTATATATAACATACTTTTACAACTTACAACTTATACTTTTTAGTTGTGCGTCGCATTGTCTTGGCTGACTCAAGCTTCGTCTGCACCAAGGAAGCCTAGGCTTACTGTAGCAGAAGATGATATGCCAATATATTATGTTAGAAATGTAAATGGTGAGCCTTTTAATATATAATAAATTATGTGATTACTGGTGATTTTAATCGAAGTGAGAGCGCAGTATGCATTATATAGGTAATACTGAAACTTTTTTCATTTAAAAGGCATTAAAGTTTGAAGTAAATGGAGTGAAAAATCGATGGTTTATTTTTGTACACATACTAGTTGAGAAACAACGTCGCCTTAAAATTAATGTACAGTTGAATTATAATATATTTTAATAAACTACTTGATGCTACTTTGTATAGAAAATAGTTCATTTTAATATCCACGTGTAAAGCTAAACATGAACATTTCATAGAATTAATTCGACGCACATTTTCTGAATAGCGATGTTCGTTTCATTAAATTAATCTTTGCCTTAATAAACGTTAGGAGCAAAATATCTAAAACGTAACTTGGTTCTTAAAAAATATTTTTTAATTCTTTTTTTTGCAATAACAGGCAGTCCAGGAACATATTCATTTGGTTACGATATTTTGGATCCGAATACCGGGAATTCACAGTACCGTAATGAAGAAAGATATCCTAATGGAACTGTTACGGGAAGCTACGGTTATGTTGATGCTGCTGGAAAACCACAAAGGTTCAGATACGTGGCTGACGAAAAAGGTTATAGGTAAGGAAAAAAAAAACCTAAACAAAGAAATAGTAAGTTGGGCTGCAAATTGCTTTTATTGTTCCTTAGTCCTTCAGTCCGGATCAAATTAAGATTGAATCGTGCAATTCATTCAGGCGCTTTTCAATATTGTATATTAAACAGCGCATCTGTCTAGGTTTGTTGTTGCGCACGTCAGGTTTTAGTTCTAACAACAAAGTAAACAGTAATTGCGAACATCGCAGTCGTCGTGGCCTAAAGGATAAGACGTTCGGTGCATTCGTATGTAGCGATGCATCAGTGTTCGAATCTCGCCGGCAGGTACCAATTTTTCCAATGAAATACGTACTTAACAAATGTACAAGACTGATTTCCACGGTGAAGGAAGATGGGTGGATGAGCTCTGAGCCCACCTGTTGTTAAATGGTTATCGGCCCACAGACATGCCGCCACCCACGTAGAGACATGAGTTGTAAGATCTCACTTTTAACAGTACAACGGCTGCCCCGCCCTTCGAACCGAAACGCATTACTGCTTCATGGCAGAAATAGGCAATAGTGTCTAAATGGAAAGGTAAACTGGTAAAATATATTCTTTTTAATTACTGTTTTAGATTTGCTAGCATTACAGTGAGTGGTTATCGTCGTTAATGGACGTCAGCGATATCAGAGATATAGTTAAACTACTGCTTAAAAATGTTCATATTCAAGTATCTACATAGCAGTCATGTATTTGTTTCTTAAGGATTTTTCAAGAGATCAGTCATTTGCCGCTAGTCCAGGCTCAGACACCTCCGGTTAGGATGCCAGGTGATTCTGCTACGGAATCGTCTATAACTTGGTCGAGGCCTAAAAAGAAAAACAAGAGGAAGCCAGTTGCTCAGATGATGAAATCAGAAGAAAATATCGATATTAATTCTCTAAGGCAACCCAGTTTTTTTGCGACTTAATGATTTATTGTTTGTAATTTAATTTATTAAAATAAATGCATTAAAACTTTTTTGAAATATCGTTGTTTGTATTCTAACAAGAATAACCTTTTTTTGACAGTACCCAGTATCACATGAAAGTGATTATTTATAGAAAGTGAAGACGTCTTTATGCAATGCAGTCAATTGATTTAGTAATATTATTGTTTAATATATTTAGTGTGGTTTCATGTAAGTATGAAAGTAAAATTTAATGTTTCATTGTATGTCCTACGTCTTTTATCAAAAAACAATCTTCGTAATAAAACTTAGCGTCCAATTAGTTCAGATCGTCGCTGTACTACTATATAATGTTTATACTGTGCCTTGAACACATGCGGCAAATACATTTTTTTCTAAATAAATACATACTATAAAGTTTTATGAATAATCACAATGAAAGGTAATTGCCTTTAATCTAATCATAATTTTTTTGGTAGTGGGCCTTTTTGTGAATCCAAGGTACATCCCGTTTTGTATGTGTCTGCCACAACAGTCTTGTGCTCCAGTTTATAGGATTAAAAACTGATATGAGGTCGAGATGAGACTTTTGTTATACTTAAAAGAAAAAAAGGAAAATGGAATGGTTCAAAAGCTAATGCAATCGATTTTGAAGAAGTAACTTATTTTAATTATAATGTTTTTAAATATTCGTACGTAGGTTTACCGGCAGTCCAAAGTGGATCAGAAACGAAACCAGAGTTCAAAGACGAAAAACGTTATCCAAATGGGACAGTTATTGGGACGTACACTTATATTGATAAAGAAGGAACGCCTGTCCATGTCCAATATTATGCAGACAACAATAGTTACGGGTATCCAGATTTTTTTATTTAACAAAATATACGTTGCTGGGCCCATTACCAATCTGTACAGGTAAGTAGGAGTATTCTGTCAATTTCTGGCGCGAAGCAATCAAGCATTCCAGTTGGGGAGCCATTACACAATACCCGTAGTATTCGTATTGTGAAGTTCACGGGCTAAATGCCAGCAAATCTAACACATATATTAAAAGGACTCGAATGGTACCACTCAGGCGTTGATTTATGAGATTATATAAAACGCTTTCACGCAAGTAGCGATGAGCGTATAGAGTTAAACCGTACGAATCACGCGCGATTATATAGAGGAGCATCATAAAGTTTATTTTTAAATTAAATGTGTTTTATTTTTCATTAAAGGGTCGAATTAAAAAGTGTGAAAGTGTATAATGAAGCTGAACCGAAAGATTTCGATCTGTTTGCGAAAACAATGGAAACTCCTCTTAAAGTTGCTTCGGATCTTTTAAAGTACGACTTTGACAGAGTCCATGACGTGTATCGATCAAAACAAAATGAAATTGATAAGATCGATAATAATTTAAAGTCCGATAAAAAAAAAGCCGATTATGAAGTTTTGTATAATAATGGATACAATTCGTTAAAAAATAATGCTAAAAATAAAATAAAAATTTATTCTGGAAAAGAAAAAAGGAAAACTCGAAATGTTCGAGATGATTATGACAAATCACTTTTTTGTTATAAATGATTTTACTATGATATTTATTTTACTTTATTTGTGAATATTAACTATCTATTGGAATATAAAGAAATTTTAGTCGGGTACTTGTTTTTTTTTTATCAAAACGGAATTTTTGTTTCCGATTTTTAATGCAACCTTTTTTAAATTTTTATGTTAAGATAATATTATCATTGATGCTTTTCACAGATATTACATAGACGTATGTACGTTTGTATAAGTGTTTATAAACTGATATGTAGGTAATCGTAAAAAGGAAAGTATCACAACAAGTGGATACCGGAATGCATGATCGGTTTGTGACAGAAATTGGTGGGATGGTGAGATGGATGGCTACCTTAATATCAGAATTTATGCAAACATAATATGTTGTTATTTGATTTGTGTTTTACGAAAATATTCCGTCATTAAGGATTTTTTTCTTGAGGACTTGTTAGTAAATAAAATATCGTAACAAATTATATATTAAAAAAAAATGGGTCTAAGGATTTGAACCATGGCAAAAGCGCATCACCAGATAGGAGTAGCCGTGAATTCGCAAATATTTTTGACGCTATACCGTCTTAAGTAACTTTGCATTTATTGATTTGGTTTTATTTCCTTTGCCTTGCATACTTTAATTCCTTTATCGTGGAGGTCGTTTTGTTTTGTTTGTATGTTTACTTAAAAATATAGTGCAAAAGAAGAATTTTTAATAATCTTATTTCAATGTTAGTATACACTTGAAAGGAGAGGGACAGAATTGAACGTTAAATGTCTTTAAGCAATGTAGTCGTGGCTTGTCGGTATGTCTTTGCATATCCGATGTATGACGAAACTCAAACGCCTGATGAATAGTGAATGAGTCGATCTAAATCCAATTCAATCGTTTTTGTTACCGCACTAGATCTCTTTGTGTTTTTAGTGACGAGTTTGTAACACGAATCGGACGACTCGTAAATACTGAGCGAATGAAAATGGTAGTTCGTTATAATTATTAAACTTTTTTTAATTGTAAGCATTGGGATTTTTGTGACAAAATTCTTGATTTACCAATTAAATATATGAGTATTTGTACCAGTTATTATATTAAAACCTGTCTATCAGTTAACAAAGAAAATGTAAGCGTCTCTCCGATTATGATGAAACTTGGTAGCGCTGTTGTAGGCCTTCTGTAGGTTTCAATCTTAGTCTCATCAATGACTGATAGATGGCGCGGTAATAGCTTTGTATTAAATATATACGACGCTATAACGTTAAGATCATACAAGAGCGTTAGAGCGCGACTAGTTTTCACTAGTATTATTAATAAAGTTAAAATAATTGCTCCAGCTCAAGTGCAATTCGGTAATATTCTAATAGAATCATTGTTAGTGGTGGCTGTAACCAGCTGTGTGCTTAGTGCGAGTTTTTTTACGTTCTCGATAGCGTAAACGTTAATTCAAATTTGTATGCAGTTGGAACAGCGTCCCTAGCGTCAAACGTAGGCCAACGTTCCAACTCCATACAAATTTGAGTTAACGTTTACGCTATCGAGAACGTTAAAAACTTGCACTAAGCACACTAATGTGTCTTTCTATGTTTTTAAATTGCTTATTGAAGTTGCTCATAGACCACGCGGTGTAATGTTGTTAATGAATGCCGCCACCCACATTGAGACCTGAGAACAAGTCTCAATTGTATTTACTCTTCAAAATGAAATGCATCGCTGCTTTTCGGCAGGAAGGTGGTGTCTACCAGTGCGGACTGGTAAGGTACCACCAGTAAATGTGGGTTAACGATCGCAGTAGGCTAGTGCAATGCTAGGAAAGCTGCTCCACATTTTGCAATGAATCACTTATGTCACGTCATTTACGATAGGCACGGGAACAGATGGGGCTGTCCTATTTTACAGCGGTATTGCGCAGCCAGTCACAGATTGGCCGCGACATCTTATGCTTATAAAAAATAAGATATTCATTTGGATTTTTTCGTTCTATATTCTGACTTACGGCGCGTCTGCTGTGTATGAAATTTAAAACTGCTAACACTATTGTTATGTGATTAGATTCGGTAAAGAAAGTGGGCTACCAATGGAGCGCACTAATTATGTAACATTTCTAGCACATTGGTGGCATGTTGTTTTAGAAACATGAGTTTAAAGTAAAATCGACTAAGTTCTTATGAAATGTTTGTATGAATTGGGCATGGGTCAAAATATGTAATTTATGAAGCGCCATAAATTGGGCAACGATAGTAAGACTTAGTCAGAAATTAATTGAATTGTTGACATTAGACAGTGGCGTGAGTGGCCTTTAGTAAGAATGTTCAAAACCGTGATTGGGATATTGAAGGTACATATTACATAATTATAAATACATAACATACACAATAACGGCTAAATTAGTGAGCAGCTTTTAAAATTTACATTGATATATCCGAATGTGATACAATGATCTTATCGGTCAATGACCTTATCAGAAGACCTTTACTTCCGAGTAAACGTGTCGTTTCTCGAGACACCTATGGACTTAAGCTCTTGCGTAATAAATCACAGTTTTCTCGTATACCTATATTTTTATCACATTTAATGATCAAAGTAATAGACTAGAAGTTTACTTATTCATAAGAATAGTCTAAAGTTTTTGTAATGTCTTTATTTAAATATGAAAACATATGTAGTACATAATATGTAATTACTTTGTGTTGTCAAACGTAATTCTGACATGCACTGTAGCATGCTAATCAGTGCAAAATGTTAGCTAACGTACTCCAAACTTCTGCTATGCAAGATACCTCAATATACATTGGCGATTTTGTTTTCTTAAAGGATTTATGTTTTTTTTTTTTTGCATAGATGGATGGACGAGCTCACAGGCGACCTGGTGTTAAGTGGTTACTGGAGCCCATAGACATCTACAACGTAGATGCGCCACCCACCTCGAGATATAAGCTCTAAGATCTCAGTATAGTTACAACGGCTACCCCACCCTTCGAACCGAAACGCATTACTGCTTCACGGCGGAAATAGGCGGGGTGGTGGTACCTACCCGTGCGGACTCCCAAGAGGTCCTACCACCAGTGCCCAAGAGGTCCTACCACCAGTCAAATTTAGTGAGGTATTTTTCAGGAATGTTAATCTCTTGAATAACTTTCAGCTCAGTTGAAAAACTAGGATATGTTTCTGAATACGTATCCAAGTCTATTTTTTTTTTATATAATTAAATATGATTTCTATTCGATTGACGATTCGATGACGTTTATTGTGACGACATAATTCTGTCTTAAATCGTTTTATCATAATCTAATATATAAAATTCTCGTGTCACAGTTTTCGTTGCCATACTCCTCCGAAACGGCTTGACCGATTTTGATGAAATTTTTTGTGCTTATCCGGTATCTATGAGAATCGGCCAACATCTATTTTTCATCCCCCTAAATGTTAGGGGTAGTCCACCCCTAAATTTTTTTATTTATTTTTTAGACAACATTTTTAATTTCTATTTTTTTATGATACAACATACAAAAATACATACAATCCTCAATTTTCACCCTTCTACGATCAACCCTTATTTTTTATTTGCTAATTAAAAACTTTAAATTTTTTTTGCGAGAATTTTGTTTTTGTTTTGTCATGACGTAGAATAAAAAAATTAATATTACTCTGAAATTTTCACCCCTCTACGATCAACCCCTATTTTTTATTGGTTAATTATAAACTTTAATTTTTTTGGCAAGATTTTCATTTTTATTTTTATTTTGTCATGAGTTAAAATAAAAAATCTGATGTTACTCTCAATTTTTCATCCCTCTATGATCAACCCCTATTTTTTATTTGTTAATTATAAACTTTAATTTTTTTGGCAAGTCTTTATTTTGTTTTGTCATGACTTAAAATAAAAAAAATCATATTACTCTCAATTTTCACTCTTATACGATCAACCCCTATTTTTCCATCCCGATTAATATTTTTTTTATTCTATGCACAGATCCGCAATAAGGTTGCAAGATGGCAATCAAATATTATAATTGTAGTACGATAAATTCTTATTCAGAGTTTATAATTTCAAGTTCCTTTAATTATGATTTTTTTTAAATTGAATTTGATCTCCCGCCCTCGCCGGTCCACTACTGATCAACTATCAATCGATCAGCTATCCCCGCCAGGTGTCACCACTCATCCAGCAAACATCACGTAGTAGGGATGAGGACGAAGCCGGTCTCCTGTCTTACTTACTCACTATACAACATAGATTATACACTTAATATATTTGAGAGCTATACAATACTATACATTTTTCAGCCATGTTTTTTTGGTTTTATTTGTGTATCAATAGTATGTTAATAGGTCTGAGAATCGGCTACTATCTATTTTTCATACCCCTAAGTGAAAAGGGTTGTCCACCCCAAACATTTATTTTTTATTTTAATTTTTTGGATATATTTTTTTTGTTTATAATGAGGTATTATGTTGTTAAATGAGGATTTTTTTCTACAGTAGAATTACCCTAGAAATCTTATTTAAGGCAACACAACGTTTGCCGGGTCAGCTAGTAATCTATATATATTAATACGTGAAGCAAAATTTGTATCCCTTTTTACGAAAATTGCGCGGACGGAGGAGTATGAAATTTTCCACACTTCTAGAGAATATAGAGAAGAAGTGCACAATGCTAATATTTTTTTTAAATAATGCATAAAAGATACATTAAATTAATAAAGAAAACATTACACACACTACCATGTATTTGACACACACGCATGCATCCTATTTGTTTATTGTCACACTTTTCTTTGCAGTCTGTCAGTTATAGTCTGTCAAATTGAGAATAGATTAAATATTGTTTTCTCTCTATTATTATTCGTCTAAAGTGTAGTTTTAACGAAATCTGTGATTAAGAAGTATTTAATAGTCTTTGACAATAGAATCGTAATAGTGTACAAACTTATAATTTCCATTAGTTATAGTCGAATTTCGACTACCGGGGGACCACTAGTTCATATAATTTTCCTAGTGCATATTACTTGTTACAAATGTTGTAGTTTGTAAACATTTATGATGAGGTGTTAATTTATTTAACAGGAACAATGCTAAGCGTTTCGTTTGAAACATAAATACACTACCACAATCTATTAAATTGTTATTCTACGCGTATAGTAATAAGTGGTTGGGCGTTTCCTGACGTAATGATTTTCTCTGTACCGTTGAATGTGATATCAATAAATCATTAGTACAAAATAAGAGAAAATAAAATCACGATATTTTGATAGTATCCGGCCCATCGAACCGTCCGGTAGAAAACGTGTTGTTTACGATAGTTTGGAATTCGCACTATACCATCGCTTTTTATGGGTGTCGAAAAATTTGTTAAGGGATTCATTTGAGAATGGGCAGCAGTGTTTTCTGAATATGAATATGAAACGTTTTTTGAAATCGTTGTGGCCTAACGGATAAGACAAGACGTCCGGTGCATTCGTGTTGAGCGATGCACCGGTGTTCGAATCTCAGGCGGGTACCAATTTTTCTAATGAAATACGTACTCAACAAATTCCACGATTGACTTCCTCGGTGTAGGAATAACATCGTGTAATAAAAATTAAGCCCGCAAAATTATAATTTTCGTAATTACTGGTGGTAGGACCTCTTGTGAGTCCGCGCGGATGGGTCAGCCGTTGTAACTATATTTGAGACCTTAGAACTTATATCACAAGGTGGGTAGCGCATTTACGTTGAGGATGTCTATGGGCTCCAGTAACCAATTAACACCAAATGGCCTGTGAGCTCGTCCACCCAACGAAGCAATAAAAAAATAATATAATACCAGTGGTTGCCTTAATGTTATGGCTAAAGGCTCCAGTAGCCGATTTCCACCGGGTGATCCGTGAGTATCGTTTGATTTTTAAAATCATCAGTTGACCTTTGTTCAACTATTTAGTAGCTAAATACTTGTTCAACTATTTAGTGCTTCTGATGTCGTTTGTATTCGACGAGAGCAAGCAAATCAAAAGTTCAAGCCACGAATAAAAATTGTAAGAATAAAACGAAAAAACCTCGATACGTTGACTCTAGTTTTTAAATAGCTCATATAAAACCACTGCGTCTATATTGAGATGGGATTACCTCACTGTTTTGGATTCTAAACATGTTTTTATTTTTATTTTCTTATTGCTTATATGTGTGAACGAGCTCAGGGCCCACCTGGTGTTAAGTGGTTATCGGAGGTCATAGACATCTACAACGCTAATGCCGCCACTTACCTTGAGATATGAGTTCTAAGGTCTCAGTTTTTACGGTACAACGGCTGCCCTACCCTTCAAACCGAAACGCATTGATGCTTCGTGACAGAAATATGCAGGTTGGTGGTATCTACCCGTGCGGACTCGTAAGACATCCTACCACCAGTAACAAATAGGAATACATGTATAGGTAAGTATATTTTGTAAGCTGTAGGTACCTGAAACATTCAAAGTATAATACATATTTTATAATAATTTTACCATGTCGCTGCTATGGCAGAAGCTAATAGAAAGAACAAAATATGAATATTCATGGTATTGATGATAAAAGTTTTTGAATATTTTACTCACTTTGACTGGTTACCGGATTTAGAATCTGGTTCGATTTGAATAGTGGAATTTTATACGAAATTCATCGGGTCGTTATTATTCCTATTTAAGTTTTGTTTTAAACTTGAATGATATTTTTTTGATACACACAAAAATAAATCATACAAATCAGAGAATGTATTTTTATTTCAGACAAGCTGACCCGGCAGACTTTGTAGTGCCTCAATCAAAAAATAAAATACCTAAACTTTTGTATAAAATAAACTTAAAACAAACCAAAGGACCCGTCCGACTGGGGACACATCAAACGGAAAACAAAATTGTTATTTTTATTTCAATCCGAGCATTTTCATATTTATCTACCTTTTAAACTTTCTCTGGACTTCCAACACAAATAAGTTAAGACCAAAATTTTTTTTTTGGTACAATTTTTCCTTGTTAGGAAAGGCAAGGGGATCTAAGCCTATACAGCCTTGTCTGTTCTATATAATTTCTGAAATAAGACCAAAATTAGCCAAATCCGTCCCGCCGTTCTCGAGTTTTAGCGAGACTAACGAACAGCAATTCATTTTTATATATATAGATGTTGACAATGCCGAAAAATTTCAGGTTCGCTTGCTATAATTAAATTAATCACCTCGAATCGAAAAACTGTGTAGTGAATCGTAATAAAAGGAATATTTTTAAAATATTCGAATTAAAGTTAAAACATAACTTAGTATTAGGTCAACATACCCACCACGGTAACGAGGAGCCCCCACATATAAATACATTCTAAGTTTTCACTTTGCACATTCCGAACGTAGGTTCTGCAACGTGTGTGACGTTTTACGTAATTGAGTGCCATTATTTAGCCGTTTTTACAAAGATGTTTTTAAAGGTAAGAAATCATGTTAAAAGATAAACAAATAAAAGATACTAAAAACTAAAAGATACTTTTAAGGTGAAGGTGCTCGACTTTAATCTATGATTGTATAATTTTATTATATAATGACACTTCTAAAATGGTATAATAAGGTAATAATATGAATAAAGGTCAAGAACGGAATCGGAATATGGCTGTCCCTGATTCGAGAGCCACATTTTTAATTAAGTTTGTTTGACATAATCTTGAATAATTTATCGTTTATTTGCAAATGTAAATATATATACATTTTTTAAATTTTATTTTTATTGCTTAGATGATTGGACGAGCTCACAGCCCACCTGGTGTTAAGTGGTTACTGCAGCCCATAGACATCTACGACGTAAATACGTCACCCATCTTGAGATAAGTTCTAAGGTCTCAAGTATAGTTACAACGGCGTGCTCCACCCTTCAAACCGAAACGCATTACTGCTTCACGGCAGAAATAGGAGGGGCGGTGGTACCTACCCGCGCGGACTCACAAAAGGTCCTACCACCACAAGGCAAAGATTTAATGCGCGAAAATACTAAATGAAAATGAATTTAGATTACAAGTAGTTTATTAGAATTAATGAAATAAGGCAATAAAGTTTACAAGATGAGTAATACGAACGTATATTTTATCGTTTAATGGCCATGACAAATTTTAATGTTCCCCGAGAAAGAGTCGTGGAATTGATTAGCTTATGAATTATATCGTAGATAAGTATCTTATGGTCAATCGCTTACTGCGTCTTTAACTTAATAAAATTAATTAATGACTGGAAAAAGTAATCTAAATCAATTGAAATTAACCATTATGAAAGCCATGTTCAGATTTCCAAATATTTTGTATTCTTTTTTCATTGAGAATTTGGTTGTGCTTTTGTAACAAAAAAAAAAGTAAATAAAAATAATAATACCGGGAAGAAGTCACGCACGGTCATCCGGTCCCAAATATGGTTTTTAATAAACCTGTTTATAAAGGTTAAAATATAGACATATATGGATGATAATAATAATAACAGTCAAAGATTAAGCAAATATGTTATCACACGAATCATTGCCGATGTGAGAATCGAACCCACTACCCTCAATGTAAGTAATAGTCAAGGGGCTTTAACTATTGCACCACCGAGTCAGTTAATAAAAAGTCAATAAAATAAGTCCTATAAACAATCCAGAAATGTTTACAACAGCCATTCACTTTTCAATTAGCTAATCTAAGTTTTGTTGAAAATTAACAGTTCTAAAAATTTCCTAGTGTTTTAATGTAATGCTACTTCCGTTTAAAAGACGGAAGAAACAGTGTTGTACGCGCATTGAATATTTTCACACTTTATTTTGCATTGTTGAATATTTTTTTGACTGCATTGAATTTAATATCCATTTTTAGTATTCGTTGTTGTTGTGTTCGAAAATTTTACTTCGATATTCGAATATTTACTGTTTCAAAATAAAAATAAAATTTATAACTTTCTTAACATTATAGTTAGTTATAGATAGATAGTTTGTGTGAGACAACTGCAGAAAGCATGCCGTTTTCATTTTAATAATTTTGTTAAATTTTATGTTTTTGTTCTGGATATTTAATCTTAGTAAATATTTATGTAATTGGACTCTTTGTTCTGCGAAACTGCGAAAAACTATATAGCAGAATTTGTGGACATCCTAAAAAGAACCGTCGAAATGGCGTCAAAACAACATTCATACGTTCAAAACACATTTCCAAGTTAACTAAAGATACGTCTTTGACTGCTTTGTCTCAAATGCAGCTAGCACATGTTCCAGTGCAAATTTTCAACAAGTTATTTTATATTATTTTCGTCTCAAAGAGTAATATAGTGCCCGATTGGGACGATGATCTATAAGTTTCATTAACGTAATACCTATAACGTTGTTTTGATCGCCAAGTGCATTGTTGCATTGTGGTGCTAACAACGAAGGTCAGTATTAAGATATTGCCATCGTGGGTTCGTCGTACCCCCTTGCGGGGGCACGGAGCGGGCCTCGGGGATTAAGTTATTTCTTGCTTACTGGCACTAAATATTGCTGGCAAGTATGTTGGCCACACCTTTCGGAGTGAATACCGTTTATTCTCATGATACATACGTAGGGTTTTTCTTGAAAATTTTTGTGCTTTTGTTGGTACGTGAGCTTGAAAATCAAAATCAACAATTTATTTACGATAAAAACCTAAAACATCTACCATTCGTGATTACTAATGTTTTGCTTTACATTACGTTTTTTGTTTACTGATCATGACATAAAAGGTCACTAACTGTAGTGAAAACAAAAGTAATGAGAAGTATAATAATACAATGCAATCACAATGCACGCAATGAACGTAACCCAATTAGAAAGTGCATGAGAAGAAATATGACAAAATAACTATTGTTGAGATGACTCATGAATATTATCGTACCTAATTGATACATACTCGTACATTGTTTTCAATGTTGATGTATTATATTTAAATTACGATGCTGATTGTCTTGCTTAATACATTCTTAAGTTAAACAAAAAGTATTTTTATTTAAATGAAATGCTATTATACAATATGTACGTATGTGTTATCGTCACACATCTTTTTAATTCAATAATTCTTAATTTATTTAAATAATTTAAATCTTCATAATTCATTTTAGTGTAATACTTATTAGGTACCACCACCCTGCCTATTTCTGCCGCGAAGCAGTAATGCGTTTCGGTTTGAAGGGTGGGGCAGCCGTTGTAACTATACTTGAGACCGTAACTTATATCTCAAGGTGTGTGGCGCATTTACGTCGTAGATGTCTATGGGCTTCAGTGACCACTTAACACCAGGTGGGCTGTGAGCTTGTCCACACATCTAAGTAGTAAAAAAAAAATTAATATGAACTGTCACTGAACTAGTTTTACAAGCAACTTTTCTTTTTGTGATTGTATACTCTTGGGAATGAGTGGAAACTTCAATTTACGAAGTCGGAACAACAGCTATCAAATGTGAACGCACGATTGCTTCAGAATGCGTTAGAAAATGAGAGTGAAAAGTAAGATTAGGATATCGACTATTAATACCAAGACAGATGGAGAGAAACTAGCCGCGTATGTGCCCTCTCATCCTCAGTTAAATATCTAGATGGACTCTTACCGTATTTGGTTTGTTTTCGCAACGAAAGCATAGTTTGATGTAGGAATATAGATTTTAATTCTAGTGAACCACCAATCTTCAGTATAGGTAGGTCTTTTTAATTTGACATGTCCTAATTTTCACGGTTTGCGCCAAAAACATTAAGGATTGTTTTTAAAGAACCTCTTGCCTAGAGTTTTACGTGGAACGTTTTATTAATGAAACTTTGTTATTATTGTTATAGGGGTTAATACTTTTGGCGACAGTCGCTTGTGCACATAGCCGTGTGCTCACATATTTCCGACCGACAAAACACGTGGACTTGCAACCATCGGGCACTTTTCTACATGCAGAGCCTCATCTAGGATTCGAACATCACCACATATCCGAAGACGAACCCGTCGACTACTATGTAAGTGTATTTCAGTTCTGTTTAATTTTCAGCAACGTAATTTGACACCTTCCCTGCGGAACAGGCACATATCGGCCCGCCGCGGTAGTGTCAGCTGGTGCGGACGAAGAAAACTATGTCCCTTTTGCTGGTGCGGACCGATTATTACAGGTGTATATACCTAGTCAGGTCATAAATTCTGTCACATGTTTAATGTAAAATAATTGAAACAAGTTTATTCATTATGTAACCATTCATATACCAAAATGAACTTAACAAAACATAGATTCTTATGACACTAAAGTTTATTCGAAATGACCTCCGTGATTTTGAATACAGGCCTTCAATCTGCGCGGCCAGTCGTCTATCGCAGCACGAACGAGGTCCATGTCAATATTGGCGGCTGCCTTAATCAAGGATGTTTTGAGTGACTCCAAATTGGGATGAGGCTTTGAGCACACCTTTTCCTCCAAATGTTGCCATATCTTGTAATCTAACGGATTCAAATCTGGACTGGAGGAGGGCCAGTCTTCGTGCCGAATGAAGTCGATTTCACGCGCCGCCAGCCAGTCTTGTGTGCTCTTCGCTCTATGAGTTGGCGCCGAATCTTGCTGAAATACCCAGTGCCTGTTATTGAACATGGTATGAGAAACAGGTTCCACAAGGTTCGTCAGGACTGTATTTTGATACACAACTGTATTCGTTTTTACACCTTTCTCACAAAAATGTACCTCTGTTAAGCCCCAATAAGAAACTCCCAACCATACCATGAGCGAGGATGGAAAATGACCTCGTTGGACACGCAGAATACGGTTGCTCGCTTCTTCACTACTGTGTGCGTACACCTTATCATTTTGTTTGTTGTAGCTCTCTTCTACGGTAAAAATGTTTTCATCCGAAAAAAGAATTTCCCGATATTTTTTTCCCGTGTACCGCTTCAACAAAGCGCGGCATCTCTTCAGTCTCAGGTCCATTAGCCGAGCATTCAAGCGATGTCCTGTTTTTCTTCGATATGCCCGAAGCCCTAAGTCTTCATTTAACACCCTTTTCACCGTGGTTCTGCTTAACCCCATCTGAAGGGCCAACACTTTCTGCTTACGTTTGGGATTTCTTTGAATTCGCGCCTTCACAGCTTTTATCACTGCTGGAGTCCTAACAGACCGAGGGCGACCACGTCTTGACCTGTCATCTACACTAGAGCCTTCATTGTATCGTTTGATGGTACGATAAACGAATCTTTTGGTTATATTAAAATTTTTCAGTATGTTAAAAATTTGAATTGGCGCGTAACCGCAACGATGCAACGCAATAACTGCAAAACGGTCTTCTTTAAGCGTCCACTCCACATTTAAAAATGAGTAAAATTCTAAAAGTATACTTTTTTATTTTCATGAACAATTCGAAATTCGAATTCAATAAACTTTTTTGTGGCCAGCATTCTAAAAGAAAAGTTTTTACTGTTTGACAATACTTATGACCTGACTAGGTAATAAGAGTTCGACACTAAATATTATAAATTGTATACAGTATGTTTTTGGTTATAGCGTTTTAATCTACCCTGGTGCTGGTGGATTTTTTTTTTTATTTATTTATTAGGCACACAATACACATCACAAGCTAAAAATATACATAAAAATATGATCGAGAAAGATCTGCCACGCACTGGTAGAAATATTGTCGGGGGCGCATTTCGATCCGCCGCCGCACCAGATGAAGGTTTATGATTTATTTGCCGTAGCCAAGGTCTATAAATGTGTCAAATGTAAAATTTATAAATTAGCGTATTAGTCATGGTCGGGTATATCCGGAGGCCGCGTAGGCAGGTACCATTTTTCTGCTTATTTCTGCCGCAACGCAGTCATGTGTTCCGATTTTAAGAAATACTAAAAAGCTGTTACATACTACAGTTGATATTTCGACTTCCTGTCTGAAATAGGTAGGAGCATTCAATTGGTGGTGTGATAATATATAATATAAGAGCTCAGATCATTTGACACTGAATTGGTCGTGAGGTTGTGCCACAATAAAGTAAATTACATTTTCTGGTTTCAATAGAAGGGTACAGTTATTCCAATGCAATTGAGACTTCGGCGTAGTATCTCGGAGCGACCGTATTAATATAACAAAAACTCTGCGCACCGGCATTACAAATTGCGATATAGTTTATCAGCATTATGTCATAGAGTCTGATTTAATATGGATGAAATGCAAGCAAGTTGTTGAAAGAATGTATGAATAAGCCTAAGCAGGAACTGAAGCGAGTAAAGATGTTTCCTGAACCGGCACTTTCTTTCTTGCGTGCTTCCTACTTTTATCGCTTGATTTAATAAATAAAATGCCGACACCTAACAGCGAGGAGGTTAGTTAACACTAATTATCTTACAAATCAGTAGAAAACGTGTATGAGAAAACTTTCCGGGAAACATTTGTAAATTTTTATTTTTAATTTTTTATTGCTTAGACGAGCTCACAGCTCACCTGGTGTTAAGTGGTTACTGGAGCCCATAGATATCTACAACGTAAATCTGCCACTCACCTAGAGATATAAGTTCTAAGGTCTCAGTATAGTTGCAACGGCTGCCCCACCCTTCAAACCGAAACGCATTACTGCTTCGCGGCAGAAATAGGCGGGGTGGTGGTACCTACCCGTGCGGATTCGCAAGAGGTCCTACCACCAGTAAAGTGGATATTTTGCTATTTCACAGCGCGCCCAATTTCGGTCATTACAATGCGAACTATATAGTAGCTTTTAGCATATGACTTTACTGGATACTGTCCCCAAAAAAGACTTATTCAATTATTTATTAAAGGGATCTCAGCAGCGGATACAGTCAGTCAGTTATATTAATCTATTTGATTAAAACCCATTTCTGATATGCATCTCTTATTAAAGTTACACACTGCATCCACACTGGTGGTAGGGCATCTTATGAGCCTGCCCGGGTAGGTACTACCACTCCGTCTTCTCCTGCCGTGAAGCAGTAATGCATTTTAGTTTGAACGGTGGGGCAACGGTTGTTCTGTAAAACCGAGACTTAGTCTAACTCATGTTCCAAGGTGAGTTGGCGGCATTTTTGGTTGCTTATGTCTATGGGCTCCAGTAACAACCTCACACCAGGTGGGGCGTGGGCTCGTCCCGTAAGGAAAATGAGCAAAAAATCCTAAACGCTAGTTACGAAATTAAGATTACCCATATCATTGATTAATTAAACATAAGATAACAAATTACAAATAAACTAATATAATATAATATTATTTATGTATCAGAAATTATTGTAATAATACAAATTAATTAACCCAATAGTTTTGATGGAGTATAGAATTACAAAATGAATACAAATGAAAAGCAAAGAAAATCTATTACAATTATAATATTTAATAATAAGATTAATACGCGACCTAGCTCATGAGTGCATATAACGGTATTCCTAACAGAAGTGAATACAGCGATACAGTGTTTATTTTGGCACCTATGTTAAAAAGTTACGATGCTCTGTTAAAAATGATACTTTAGAAAGATTTATAGATAATTAAATTTTTTTTTTGAATATTACAGTGGTTCTCAATTTTATTTTGTCTACTGCCCACTTCGAGAATAAATTATGTTTTAGCGCCTCCTTTTTTTGATTTCATTTTCAGTTTTTCACCTACTTGAAACCAATATAGCGAGAGCTCTGTCGGTGTCTAAGAATCCTTCGAGATGAAATTACAAATCGCTTCCAAAGCCTTTACACAATGCCCCCTTTTTTTTCTGGGTCTCTTAGCGCCCTCCTTTAGGCCTGCAGTGCCCACAAGGGGGCGTTATCACCCACTTTAAGAAAAGCTGCTCTATTGAGATGTACTTGTATTACAAGCAGAACGATTTTTTAAGCATCGATCAATCAACTTCGCTGTGTCTCTCTATAAGCCCGACATTGGCGAAATCTGTATGCGTATTTCTTTACGTATTATTGCGACCACTTATTTATAGAAAATATTGATTATATTCTATTGAAATTCCAAGAATTCATCAGCGTTACGAAAAATTGATAGTTGAGTATTGATTGATATGAAAATTTTCATATTCAATGGCATCCTGTCTTATGAGTTCCGGAAATTCATACGAGATAAGAATATGTACATTTCTCCATATCTTTCTGTTCACGGTACTGCATATGTATTCACTAAGAGAGCAGTTTGTTTTTGGTTTTTTTTCCTACCTACCTGAGAGCCTTGAGAGGCTATTTCAGCGTAATCTTAACTAGGCTAATCTAAGGCGAGCTCACGGGGCTCAAACCTGACGACGTTGCTAACACGAACCCTATCAAGAGCCTTGCTTCGCAGAATCTACCACCAGATCGGAAACGCGACCCACTGAGAAGATCCGGCCAGAAACTCAACGGGCTATGTCTGAGGATTAATTTACTCGTCGAGCCCTTCGTCGCAAGCGACGGGTTCGACGAGAACGATGACCGGTGCTTGAGGTACCTAAAAGCACCGTTAGTGGATCGGGAGGATCCGAAATGACGTGTTTGGGGCGACGTCGACTGCTTTCCATTCTGTCCTCAGGATCGGGAATGTAGGAGCAATTTGTAACGAAGTCTGTATTTCTCATGAGTGGTTGGCCGTGAGAATAAGTATATCGAAACAGCGAAAACCTTTCCTCAAGAAACTGACTTTGGGAAACGAGTTAGATTGTTGTGGTAGAGTTCAGTTCGATTCTTAATTAGATCAAGCAATAATAAAAAAGATCACATGGAATTTAAACACAGAAAAAAAAAACTTTATTTATCCAAACCATAGGAATGCGGATTCAGAGTTTCGAAGATTTAAATATATGCCACGGTTTTGTATGATGGCATTAACTTGTTTAATTAATGTAGCTCATGTAAAATTAATGCGATCAATCGAACTAGTTATTTGTGAATATTTTATTTATTTACTACCAGAAACCTGCCCACGCTTGTGGTCATCGCAAATTATTATGCTAAAATACACACATTTAATGAAACTTCTTGCGTAACATCTGTCGTTCGTTGATGGCGCTATTTCTATATATTAATACGTGAAGCAAAAACTTTGTATCCCTTTTTACGAAAATTGCGCGGACGGAGGAGTATGAAATTTTCCACACTTATAGAGAATATAGAGAAGAAGTGCACAATGCTAAAATATTTTTAAAATAATGCATAAAAGATACATTAAATCAATAAAGAAAACATTACACACACTACATACCATGTATTTGACGCACACACGCATGCATACTATTGTTATTGTCAAACTTTTGTTCTTGACGTCTGTGGTCAAATTGAGAATAGATTAAATATTGTTTGTCTTTATTAATATTTTTTATAGAGTAGCCTTGGCGAAATTTGTGATTATAGAAGCATAAAATACAATAATAGTGTACAAACTTACAATTCCAATTAATTATAGTCGAATTTCGACTACTGCGGGACCTCTAGTACTAGATAATTACCCCGAAGTGCTAACAACAACTATATAATATACTAGCGGCCCGCTCCGGCTGCGCTCGGGTCTTTAATAAAAATTTCAACGATATTTGACGTTGTTTTATTTTTTTTAAAAAGAACACTTATTACGACATCACTACAATAGGTAGACATATGTTGCTGCGACACTTTTTGTAATTAATAATATGTTCTACAAAGTCGTAGTACATTATTTTATTCTATCATCAATAGTATTCGCAGAGCACGCGATTTAAAGAATATTTTAGGTAATTTTTTAACACCTTGGGTCACATTATTGGAGTTTTAGTAAAGATCCCAAATTTTTTTCAAAAATTATTATAGCCTATGTCACTCGGGAATAGTGTAGCTTCCAAACAGTGAAAGAATTTTTCAAATAGGTTCAGTAGTTTCGGAGCCTATTCAATACAAACAAACAAACAAATCTTTCCTCTTTATAATATTATATTAATATTATAATTATAATTATAATATAATAATTAGTATAGATAAATTACATTTGTTTCTAGAGCAACAAAAAAAAAACGACCCGCTAATGTAAATAATACGAAAATGATAAAGCCACAAACATTAATTTTTATATGTATATATTGTCACATGGTCTCATTCCAGGCAGAGGATTAAATAAAAAAGTTAACATTTATAGAAGTTGATGATCAATGATTTCCGGTTTGAAGGACATGATGTTGAAATCATTTTCGTATGAGATTAAATAATATGATAGGCCACGTCAATTTGTTGCTATAGAGTAGGTAGTAGATTTCACGATATGATAAACACATCAAGACAGACAGTTAAAATCAGAAGTGTTGCATTTTCGTAGAGTTGTATTTATGTTGCGTCAAATGAGAATATCACATGTTTTATTTTTAAACCGTTTGTTGAGTTTGCATTAGTCTAGATGTAAAAATATATTTTTATTATAAATCATATTTATATATTAATATTAATATATTATTATTATAATTAATACAAAATAATTATTATAAATCTTTAAATCTCGACAGTCAGACGACTATTGGTGAAAAACACTAAAATAGTCAGGTTTTGTTACGCGGAAATATGTATTATACCTAGTCTTGCCATAAATACCGAGACAAAGGAAAAAAATCTATTGCAAATAACATTTATTACTTTTACAGTGTGTTCGTTTAATACATAAATATACAACAATTTAAAGTATAAAAAGCTTATTCGAAGTGATTTCCATTGGCTGCAATACAGTCCTTTAAACGTTGAGGCCAGTTATCGATAGAAGCACGCACTCTTTCCATGGGAAAATTTTTCACTGCCAATCGTACGGATTGTTTTAGGGACTCCAAATTATCATGGCGTTTCGAGCAAGCCGTACTCTTTAAAACTGACCATAAATCATAATCCAGCGGATTAAGATCGGGACTAGACGACGACCAGTCTTGAGCTCTGATGAAGTCCGAAACGTTCGTTTCCAACCAAGACTTCGTAGACTGAGCTTTATGACCTGGCGCCGAGTCTTGCTGCAAGGACTATTCTTGATTATTGAACATGGTGTTGTCAAGGGGCTTCACTACCTTCTCAAGAATGGTATCTTGATACACTTGTGCCGATGTTTTGATACCTTTTTCACAAAAGTATGGCCCAGTCACTCCTTCATTGCTAATACCCCACCAAACCATCACTCACGTCCTTACGGATTCATCAGATCCANGACCTGGCGCCGAGTCTTGCTGCAAGGACTATTCTTGATTATTGAACATGGTGTTGTCAAGGGGCTTCACTACCTTCTCAAGAATGGTATCTTGATACACTTGTGCCGATGTTTTGATACCTTTTTCACAAAAGTATGGCCCAGTCACTCCTTCATTGCTAATACCCCACCAAACCATCACTCACGTCCTTACGGATTCATCAGATCCAATAACTCTTGCATTAGATACCTTCAGCTCTAACAGTAGGAGCAGGCTGAGGAACCCCGGTTAGCGTACTCGTCGAACTCGACAAAGAGGTCGACGTGCAACCTAACCCATGCATCAGCCCGCTGAGTTTCTCGCCGGATCTTCTCAGTGGGTCGCGATTCCGATCCGGTAGTAGATTCATTCGTGAAGCAATTGCTCTTGAGTTGTTAGGTCTCCTTCGGAGGCGCTCGGGCAGTTGTTAGCAAATCCCACCCCTCCTGGCTGAGCCTTTGCTCGCCCACCTGTCCTGCTGAAGCTGGAAAGGCCTCCGGGCCACCAGTAATCTTTCAGTCATAAAAAAAAACCATCACTGAAGTCGGATGGTGCCCACGTTGCACTCTGTCGATTAATTGGGAAGATTCCTTAGAGCTTTAAGCATAAATACGGTCATTTTGTTTGCTAAAATGTTGCTCATTTGTAAAAAAATTCTCATCCGTAAACAAAAATTTTCTATGACCTCCCTTTGCGTACCGCTTCAGTAGTTGTTTCGATTTTACCACCCTATTATCTTTTAAATTATCAGTTAAGAAATGACCAGTACGTCTCTTATAGGCTGCAAGTCCTAAGTCATCTTTTAAAATACGCGACATCGTTCTAGGTGCTATCTTCATCTCCCGAGATAAAATCTTTTGCTTTCGGACAGGATTTCTTCGAATTCTTTCCCTTACTGCTTTGACCACCCTTTTCGTACGAACACTACGTGGATCTTTTTCTGTCACTAACAGAGGAGGTCTCATTGCACCTATTAATAGCCTGGTACACAAACATTTTACTAATACCAAGCGTATGGAGAGTTTTAAAAATTGCATTTGGCTCCATACCTACTTTGTATAATGCAATCACAGCGATTCGGTTCTCTTTATCACCCCAGTCCATTTTTATATCGCAAAATATTGTATAATGTATTGGCGCCAAAATGAGAAAACTAATTGAGCAATCATATAAAAATGAGAGATTCCAAATTCAAATGTAATATTTTGTTTATTTTTAATTCTAACAGTATTTATGGCCAGACTAAGTATATTATTGTCTAATGGTGACAATGGAAATGTTTCTTATGGAGATCACTATTGCGTACCCATACCTTCTAAAGAAACTGATATTTATTTAGTATATTCTATCTTAATTGGTAATCCAAAATGTGATGAATGTTACATTCATTTTATTGTTGACAGGCCTACCCGAAATACGAATTCAAATACGGAGTCAACGATTTTCACACAGGTGACATTAAGACCCACTACGAAACTCGAGACGGAGACGTTGTCAAAGGTAAAATAGTTTTTAAACAAGTATGGTTTTACTGGTGGTAGGACCACTTGAGTCTGCGTGGGTAGGTACCACCACCCTGCCTATTTCTGCCGTGAAGCAATAATGCGTTTCGACTTGAAGGGTGGGTCAGCCGTTGTAACTTTACTTGAGACCTTAGAACTTATTTCTCAAGGTGGGTGGCGCATTTACTTTGTAGATTTCTATGGGCTCCAGTAACCACTTAACACCAGGTGGGCTGTGAGCTCGTCCACCTATCTAAGCAATTTAAAAAAAAAAGGTTGTATTACAATTTTATGCTTATTATACACAACTTAATCTGCTGCAATCAGTGGGTGTATACCGAAATGTCACTGGTTTTTTTAAATACTTATTACATGAGTCATGGCTTACTTTTAATATTAATAAATTTAATAAATATTATAATGGTAATATTTAATTTGACAAGATAAAACAGTTTTTTTCCTCTGTTTGCCAAACAGTATTCTTTTTTTTAGTAGTTTTGTTTAGAAGCCATTGATGATAATGTTGACTGAATGTATTGATAACAAATTTTTGGTTAGTTTCTTATTTTTAAAATCTCAATAAAAAGGAGAAGAGAAGAAAACGTAATACCTACATTAAACTAATCTAAATCTGGGTATAGTCGAATACTGTATAAAATAATTATATAAATACACTAGCGACCCGTCCTCGCTTCGCTTCGGAAACATAAAATCTGATTATTGATAGGCGAAGCCCGCCATGTTGCGCGCGGTACGACAATAACTTCGGGTGACGCCGCGGGGCAAAGCTAGTTTAAAAAAAGTAGCCTAAGTTACTCCTTATATCATCAGCTACCTAATAGTGAAAGTCTCATCAAAATCGGTCCAGCCCTTCCAGAGATTAGCCGGAACAAACAGACAGACAGACAAAAATTGTAAAAAACGTTGTTTTGGTACCGTATATATATTCATATGCATGTAGTAAAAAGCGGTTATTTCAATACTAAAAACAGACACTCTAATTTTATTTATATGTATAGATTACTGATTTATATACAGAACGAACAGCGGATGGACTATAAGTCGTTATGAAAATATTTTAAATGAAAACGTGATAAATGTTTATTTATACGTATTTTTTTAAATGTTACAGGTCAATACACAGTGGTCGAGCCCGACGGTTCGATTCGCACCGTGGACTACACCGCCGACAAATACAACGGATTCAATGCGATCGTGCACAAGACCGCTCCCATATCACCTCACGAGGCTGCTCATTTACATCATTAGATTATTATAAAACGTCATCCAAAATTATTCTAGCGTCTAGATTTTTGAATGACATCTTCTTTATTTATTGGCATTTGATTCTAGTAATTTATATAAAAAAAAAAAAAAAATTTTTGGGTGGGTCAAAGTCAGATAATATTTTTATTTTATTTGAGATTTACGTTCAATGAAAAATGAAAAGGACAAAAATGCAAAAGTCAAATTTTTGAAGTCTTTGTTTGGGATGGTATTGAGTAGTATTTCTATAAGAATAATAAGAATGTTTTTATTCCACGAAGAAAAAACAAGCGACATTTTTTGTAGCCTAATTGAAATTTGTTTAATTTTGAATTTAGTTTTTTAAGCATGTTATAATTTCTGCTAAATGTCACATGAAAATATACCTACATACGTACGTACGTTGTGAATAGTTTGCTTTAATAACAAAAGATGCGTTAATAGTATTGCTTTTTTTCACAAATTAGATGTACAGGATAAAAGTTAGTAAGAATTGAGAGGTTACCGAGAATTTAGTAAAAAAAAAAATTCATTAACCATATATGATTTTTATAAAGGTGTTGAATGAACAACGGTGATTATTACCATAATAATATATTAGATAATAAGTACCGAAAGAAATTTTTGCTTATTTTAGATCCTTAGTCAACTCTTTAGAAATAAATAATTCGTAAGTATTATATAGGATCTCCTTGTTATATTGTTTATTGAAATAGTTACGTTTTTGTTCTATATTTATTGTTATTATTTCTATCAAATGTACTGTATGATGCTGTTCTAAATTATATAACATTTGTATTTAATTGTTTAGTTATTAGGATCGTTAATAAAATTTTGTTTTATTGTTTAAATTATGACGTCATTGAATTCATATTAAATATATACATACATAAATCTTAACGTAACATCAACCCACAGTGTCAGATGAAGGCAATCAAATAATTTTGAATGTGTCTTCGAAAATCGAGGTCAGTCAAGATTGTCTAGTTGATCACCTCTCGATATGTGAATTTTGATATTTGAAAATTCTCTATAAATTAAACTGAGCTTTAAAACGCTAAGCTTGAAGACCATAAAATTATGCAATCTATACATATAAATAAAATTGGAGTGTCTGTTTGTAATATTGAAATAGACTCTTTTTACTACAAGCATATGAATATATATACGGTACATACATCAAAATAACATTTTTTACAATTTTTGTCTGTCTGTTTGTTCCGGCTAATCTCTGGAACGGCTGGACCGATTTTGACGGGACTTTAGCTGGTAGCTGATGATATAAGGAGTAACTTAGGCTACTTTTTTAGACTAGCTTCGTCCCGCGGCTTCTTCCACGGTACGTCAATAAGCGCGGGTAACATTGCGGGACTCAGCTATCAATAATAAAATTCAATGTTTCCGAAGCGAAGCGAGGGCGGGTCGCTAGTATAACTATATAGTTGTTTGTATATTCGTGCACTATGCGTTTGTGGGTAAATTTTTTAATCGAGTTGCAGATTTTTGTTGCTATGTACAGTTGTTGTTGGCACTTCAGGGAATATTTGTAAANCGTCAATAAGCGCGGGTAACATTGCGGGACTCAGCTATCAATAATAAAATTCAATGTTTCCGAAGCGAAGCGAGGGCGGGTCGCTAGTATAACTATATAGTTGTTTGTATATTCGTGCACTATGCGTTTGTGGGTAAATTTTTTAATCGAGTTGCAGATTTTTGTTGCTATGTACAGTTGTTGTTGGCACTTCAGGGAATATTTGTAAAAGACCACAAATCAAGCAAAAGGTGCAGTGCGAGCAGTGAAAACAAATTGGTGTATTTCATAAAATCATAAAACTCAGTATTATGAACAAAAGATAGAGTTAAAACCAAACATTTCGAGGTTGCAATTTTAGAATCACGATTCGTTGAATGTTCTAAATATGAGTAATTTTACAGCAGCAATGTCTAAATGTAAAAGAATCGCAAAAATACGATTGTTTTTCAAATTATCATACAAAACTGAAGAAAAATATTTTTTTTTCCTATCTAAACGCTAGTAGCCTAAGGGGATATTCTAGCTACTCACGAACTGGTAGGTGAGCTCACGGGCTCTACCTGAGAGAGCTAACACTGTGCCTAGCAAAAAGAGTGCTTCGTAGAATCTACCACCGGATTGAAATCGCGGCCCACTGAGAAGATTCGGCTGAACACTCAGTGGACTGTGTCTATATGCTACATTAATACTATTTTTACTGGTGGTAGGACCTCTTGTGAGTCCGCACGGGTAAGTACCACCACCCTGCCTGTTTCTGCCGTGAAGCAGTAATGCGTTTCGGTTTGAAGGGTGGGGCAGCCGTTATAATGAGATCTTAGAACATGCGGGTGGCGCATTTACGTTGTAGATGTCTATGGGCTCCAGTAACAACTTAACACCAGGTGGGCTGTGAGCAAGTCCACCCATCTAAGCAATAAAAAAATAAAAAAAGCAATATTATTTACATTTGCGATCAAACCTGAATTCATTACTAACGTAAGTACAAGTGAAGTAGTATGGGAAAGATACAGTGCTGATACACAATACTGTGTTGTACATATTAAGGATACTAAGTACCGAGAACAATGGGTTATGTCTAAGAATTTGTTGAGCTATGCACAGATACAAGGATGACGTTCAGTCGTTTTGAATATCATATGACTTGGCACTTGACGGTTTTGCTACACTAGGCTGTACTAAAAGTATCGGGAATGGAATATTTCCACTGTTCCTGTCATATTAAAATATTTTTAATTGAAAACTCCTTGGTTTTAAAAATCGAATACCATTTATTTATTTAAAAAAAGATTCTCGGTCTTGTCACGAGGTTTTGTCAAACTTGTTTAGTCGTTGAGAAAATGGAATTGACTCGAGAAAATTCAAGAGCGATGACTTATTATGACTTTCGAAGTGGTTTAACACAAAAACAGTGTGTTGACCGGATGATTTCTGCATTTGGTGATGAAGCCCCATCCAAAACCACAATTTATCGCTGGTTTGCTGAGTTTCAACGTGGACGTGTCAAGCTCAGTGATGATCCCCGTCAAGGTCGTCCAAAAACTGCAGTCACACAAGAAAACGTTGATGCTGTGCGTANGATTTCTGCATTTGGTGATGAAGCCCCATCCAAAACCACAATTTATCGCTGGTTTGCTGAGTTTCAACGTGGACGTGTCAAGCTCAGTGATGATCCCCGTCAAGGTCGTCCAAAAACTGCAGTCACCCAAGAAAACGTTGATGCTGTGCGTAAGCTGATTGAGGAAGATCGACATGTGACATACCGCGAAATTCAGGCAACTTTACGAGTATGAAATTTAACTTTTCTGCCATTTGTGAACTATGAGTTGTTGATATTTTCACTTCCTAATACAATAGTAAAACAGTACCGTTTTGACATTATTGTTATGGTAAGAAGAGGGTATTGTGAGGCTGCATGGGATTGCCAATCATTTATAACGTATAGAAGATGGGATCTTATAAGTTCCTCTTCGACTTCATGTCTAAAGGCAAGTGAATCGAAGACTGCTGATATTATAGGTATTAATTCATACTTTACCCACAGACACAGCCCATTGAGTTTCTCGCCGGATCTTCTCAGTGGGTCGCGTTTCCGATCCGGTGGTAGATTCTGCGAAGCACTGCTCTTGCTAGGGTCAGTGTTAGCAACTCTCCGGTTGAGCCCCGTGAGCTCACCTACAAACATTAGGGTGAAGCTGAAATAGCCTCTCAAGGCTATCAGTATAGGTAGGAAAAAAAAACATTCATACTTCTAAAGCTTTAAAAAAATGCCAAGCCCTATTACCTATTTTCTGTTTGTCGACCTGCCGGCACCGTGTCTAAAGTTAAGGAAGGTCTTGTCGGATTTGTTTAGAAGACTCACCTATTGTTCTATCAGAGTCGGATATCTAAGAAGGAAGGAGTGACGAAATTGTTTTTTCGCGGTAAATGTTATTGATTTATGTTTCCTATTATTTATTTGGTAATTTAAGAAAAGAAAAAAAAAACTACTACAATTGTTATATTATTTTTTTATTTTTGCCTTTCTGTTGGTTAAAATTACAATAAATTTTGAAGGCGTATATAGATAAGTAATATATAGATAATAAATACCTAGACAAAGAGTAAAAAATCCTGTTAATCACACGAAAGTTTGCCTGATGTGGGAATCGAATCCACGACCCTCGGCGCTAACTACTGCACCACTGAGTCAGTACCGAGTATTAATGTAAGATGTGATCAGCGAGAGTAAATACTCAGTGTTATGGATTATCATCATAATTATTTTTGGCTTAGTGTATTTGGTCCTTAGTGTATTTCTTCGATTTTTGAGAGTTGTTCTTGAGTAGTCTATCTGCTTTCCATAAACAGTTAAATAAATACTCATCGCTACCAATACAAATAAAGGTCAGTAAGAGAAAGAACAAGTGGAACCCGTTACCTGATATTTTGCATTCTATTTTTTATTTATTTAGAATGATTTTTAATTTAGTAGTCGTCGTGGCTTGAAGGTAAGTAAGGAAGGTGTAATCGTATCAAGCGATGCGACAGTGCGCGTGTACGAATCCCGCAAGCAGGTACCATTTAAAAAAAAAAAAGAAATAACAAATGTAATCAAAATATATAACCTTAACTAATATTCACGAACTTACTTCCACGATGAAGGAATGACATCGTGTAATAAAAATCAAACTCGCAAAATTATAATTTGCGTAATTACTGTTGGTAGGACCGCTTTGTGAGTCGGCACGGGTAGGTACCCTGCCTATTTCTGCAGTGAAGCAGTAATGGGTTTCGGCTTGAAGGGTGGGGCAGCCGTTGTAACTATACTGAGATCTTAGAACTCATATCTCAAGATGGGTGGCGGCATTTACGTTGTAGATATCTCTGGGCTCCGGTAACCACTTAGCACCGGGTGTGCCGTGAGCTCGTCCACCCATCTACGCAATGAAAAATAAAACATCTTGTAGTATAAATCAAACCCGCAAAATTTTGTCTGTGCAATAATGCATTTCGGTTTGAAGGGTAAGGCTGGCTAATTTAGTGTTAGTACAGAGATTTTGAATTCTTATCTCAAATTAGGTGGCGCCATTTTTATTGTTGATGTCTATAGGCTCCGTCCACTACCGGGTGGGCCGTAAACTAATCAAATAACAAAAAAAATTACAGTAAAGTGTGACCGAACTTCGATAGTAAAATTGTTATTTAAGTTTTACAGCTGGAAGCGAATTTCCTACTATTTTTTGAATGCTGTTTATTAGATTTACATATGCCTAATGAAATTAAAGGAAATTATCTTCTATTTTGTATACTGTGATGACTAATCAGTTGTAAATTATCCGGATTAGCTGGTCCAATGAATCATTAAATTTATAGTTTCCTTTCGTTGATAAATGAATTATCCTTATTTTTTTTAAATTCACGGATATTGTACGTATTTGTTAAATTCTAATAAAATATTTTTTATGCCGGGAAACGGCTTATAATTTCAGACAGCAGACATTTTAAAACTTAGAAATCATCCATATAAAACAAGACAGGGATCAAAAGTTGATCAATTATAAAACTTGTTCATACGAAATGTAGTTTATTGAATCCAATATAAATGTAAAATGGATGAGATTGGATTAAATACATTTAGTGTCTTCTGAACTTTACGAATGACAACGCAATATATACATTATATTTATTAACATATGTTTGCGCAAGTCAATCCAATATTCATCTTCTTATCTTTGTTAGGGTTTTAGAATTTGTAATTTAAAAATAAAACGAACATAACATTAAGTTGATTCACATCTATAAGAAGCTTCACATGACACGGTTGCATTTAATATGTTTAGTGATTAATATAATAGATACGCAGATTTATACGCAATATATTTTATAGATACGCAAATTACGGAGTTACTGTAACATTAAGTTTTCTCCGGTACGTGGCGTTTCGGAGATAATTCAGAAGAAAGAAAGAACAAGAGATTGCTTCGAAGCACCAACACGCAGGATGATTGTACCAGCCCCTGTGGTCTCTCAATACGATCCACCATCGAAACACAAGGGATCAATTAAAATAAGGATTAGTGAAAGTTGATTGTGAAACTACTTCTGTTACCTACAGGGTGGAATGTTTTTGAATTTTAAATGGACAGTTTCAACGATATCTAATTGACTTTTAAACTGATTTAAATGTTGGAGAATCAGTTATTGCTAGGGAAGGAGATCAGGGTTGTATACAAATTCTTCTGATCTGATTTACTTAATATAATATTATCATATAAAATCGTTTCACCTTGAGTCTAGCATGAAATTAAATGAATGAAATGAATTGTTCTTAATACAATATTAACAGTAATTATTCCAATCGGTATGCTGCAATCTCACGTACACACATATAAGCTATTGTAGCGTGTGAAAATTTTCTCAATTAAGTCGGCGCAGCGCTAAAGGAAACTTCATTTTCGGAAGCACAGTCGGCTCCGCCCACCAAGGTCAGCGCTACCAGCGAATAAGGCCACATATAAAATGCCTGTGAACCCTCTGTTATTACTATTCAGGGAGTAGACAGACAAGCTGATACACGTATTCCAATATGTGCCGGTTACAGTGTTTGTTTTTTGTGGCTTTAGTTGGAATCGTTCAATCTAAGCCACAACAAGGAGTGTTGAATCCCGAGTTACCGAATGGAGTTAAATATTACGTAAGGTGTTTTATGTCATAAAAGTTTTATTATTTATGTTTAGATGTGTCAATGTGATCAGTTTTTTTCAAAAGCATTCTAATGAACAAAATATAATACTCTTGCAACAAATTATTTAGGAATTGTGTACTTGAAATATAATTAATTTTTTCTGATATTTTTCTAAACATTTATAGCAAATTGAAAATCAATCCTTGACCGCTTTGTTTGTTTTTAATATGATTTACATTCTATTAACTTTAGTTCTAATAAATTAATTCAGATCACAAAATTAGGGCATTCTGTCTTTTTTATTTTAACATTTTTAGTGAAATTTATTCAAAACGTCTTTGAGTTGAATTGGGTTGAAAAACTAGTACACGATTTGAGTTCCTAATAGATATTAATAATATGAATATTTGTATTATTTTTTTAATATTAGAAATAACCGCAATTTTTGATAAAAATACAATTTAAGTATACGTTTTCTAATTTTAATAGTCTTTAGAGCTTTTTTCTCCTAAATGTGCTTATACTCTGGTATGGCTGGCCTGGCTTATTAATACTATAATATGGTAGCCGCTCCCCACCTTGAAATATACGATTCCAGTATAAATTTCATTAGTACAAAAGCTGCCCTACCCTTCAATCCAGAACTCATATTGCTTCTTAACACAAATGCAGTATAGTACCTACCCATGCTTGCCACATGCCATGCACTTAAAGTGAGCAAGGAGATTAAAAACTACGCAATTAGGAAGGAAAATCAGTGGGATAGTTATCATTATGGGTGGAGGATATGGAAGAAGTAGTAGCAAGAGTGGGTCCAGATCGTAAATTGTAATCTATAACCGAATAGCTATAATTAATATTCTCTGACCTTACACGTATAATGAGATCGAAATCGTTGCTTTATTAATTTTTGCGTGATAATGTCATCTGCTTTAATTACAAATATTGCTACCAGATTTTTCTTCTGTATTTAGGCATTACGATCGATTTGTTATGGTAGCACTCGTACATTGGTAAAAGGCGTTTGTTTTTTATTGCAATCATATTAGTAATCACAAGCACTATGATCTTCGTTTTCGTAAACTGTTACAATAATCTGTATAATTTATTTTTTTCCCCTCCGGGCGGAAAGTGGCAACTTTCGTCCCGCTGTGCTAAACAAAGCTGCCGCTTTCCGCCTTTGTCGGACAAAAAAATAGTGTACAGCCCTTGGAAAGTAAAACAGTAAACCTCAGATCGCATGTAATTTTTGGCCGAGCCGAAGCCGAGCCAAGGCTTTTCTTATTTTCCATCCCAAGGGGTGTAATATACTAATTTATCATTACAATGCATTGATGGAACTCATAAATACCCCCATAGTTTTAAGTTGTTGACTTTTATATATATTTTTTAAATTGTTTATATTGATGAACGAGCTCACGGTCTACGTGTTGTTAAGTTATTACCGGAGCCCATAGACATCTGCATAGACATAATGCAACTCTCGCCAGCCACCTCAAGACTAGAGTTCGAAGGTCTCAGTTTAACAGTACATGCGTAATGAAGAATAGTAAATAAATATCTGGATGATGCTAAGGCTAGATGAAGGTTGTGCTTTGGGTTGAAAATCTTAAGAAGTTGCTTGGTTGTGGTACTGTGTCGCTTCATAGAGCGACCCAGAATGTTAGAATAACCATGCTGCTGATCAGGTCCCGTAGAAGTGGAACACTAAGCAGAAGAAATAATTTATGATGATGATTAAGACATAAATAATGAAGTAACCGAAGGATCTTTCTTAATGTAAATTTACATTATTTTCAGAACTCACCGAAGTATGCTTTCAACTATGGCGTCGCTGACCCTAATACTGGTGACGTGAAATCACAACATGAAACCAGAGATGGAGATGTTGTTAAAGGTAATCATTATTTAGAAAATTAACAGTGTCAGTAGATCTATTAACAAATAAGAACAACAATCCGGTGTGGATACTAATTGGTATCTCTTAGAATATTTAATAATTTATTACATAATACTTAACGGCGATCAGATAATTTCGCATAATATCAATAAAACTGAAACAAAAAACAAAGATGTAAAAAATTCGTAATTTTTTAAAAAATCATAATCATTCCAAACTTACCGATTACGTTTTTCTTTACATTTGTGTTAATATAATCTAAAATTCATATTTTAAATTTATGCATTCTAAATACCCGCTGCTGTTTTAATTTCACGTTGATTTTATTTTAATTAGAATTAGGTGCAAAGATATTAATAGGTGCATTTATGCAGATCATGCATATTAATATCCATTATTTTAATCATCTAATAAAACTAAAATAAACATGAAGAGCGATTCATATTTAAATTTTATTAGTAATTTACAGATTTCCTTGTTATTGTGACTGCAAAATGTATCTGAAATGGGCACACAATATTGCCCATTAATTTTATGAGGGTTAGCCCATTGTTTGTCTGTTGCAACCTTCGTTCAATGAGAGTTCCAAATTTAGAGCCCATTAAAATATTTAATGTGTATGGTGTCGTAGAAGTGATTCAACGGTACATTTATTAATAAATAATCAGTATATTCATACATTATATTTAAATACAGAAGATATAAAAAGGACACGGTAAGTTAGATTTTGGTGAATCTGAATACAAATCAACGATTTATTCTGTCCTCGTTTCTTTGTGCGTTCCATGATAAAGTTAAAGTAATAATATTGACAATGATGAACTTTTTTGCTTTCAACAGATTATAATTATACTGAAAAACTCTTACATACATATTTTTGAAAGAAAAAGCCAAGACAGTTTGTAACAATTCAACAGTTTTTAACAATCAATATAATCAAAATAAGTTGGACTCCACTTTTAACTTCTTCCGTTTAATATCACATAGACATCATACTGGTGGTGGGACCTCTTCTGAGTCCACACGGGTAGGTACCACCACCCAAACCTATTTCTGTCGTGAAGTAGTAATGCGTTTCGGTTTGAAGGGCGGGGCAGCCGTTGTAACTATACTTGAGACCTTAGAACTTATATCTCAAGGTGGGTGGCACATTTACGTTGTAGATGTCTATGGGCTCCAGTAACCACTTAAAACCAGGTGGGCGGTGAGCTCGTCCACCCATCTAAGCAATAAAAAAAAACGTTTTTATCCCATTTTTTTTCTTCGATAGGTGAATGAGCTCTTAGCCCACATGCTGTTATGTGATTACTACAACCCCTAGACATCATAATGTGAATACATTTTCTGTCCATTATTGATGAGCTTGTGGTCTAATGGGTCAAACGAGCGATATCCTATTATATCGTGTCGTTAAATTTTTAATCCGGCAACATATGCCAATTTTTCTAGTATTTGAATACAATAAAAATACGTATTTTATGTGTTCACAAGTGTTTACAACGATGAGCTATGAAAATTGTTAATTGATATCAAAACCTATAAAAATTCCTTGATACGTACGGGTAGATCGCATTAACCTATTTATTTTAGCCTCGAAGCATTGTATGGATGCGCAGAGGCTAAAATAAATAGGATAATGCTTGCCCTGGTTTGGAGTTGTAGGAAAGTCATTATCACAAAATAATGGTGACATCGACCTTAAGTGTCAAGGTGGGGGACAAGTTACACGCTGCGCGGTCTTTAATTATAGGGATCGATTTGATTTAAAACTAGATGGCTCATTAGCTCGTCTACTCATGTAGGGCGTTCAAAAGTCTTAACTAGTATGACTTACGAAACATATCTAGGTCGCTTTCCAAGTTTGCATCTTTGTAAGTAGTTGCGTTTTAGCACTACACAAGGTCATTGACACAGAGAATCTATTTAGTGATTTAGACCGATCGATTTCCTACTTCATAAATGAGTGTCAAGAACAAAGGACACATGAACAAGAAGACGACGAATGCTTAAATGCTATTGTTTAGAAAAATATCCTGATCTGCAAACGAAGTCTGAATCAGTAATTAAGGTCACCAACCAAATAAGGCAATCAATCCCATTAGGATTATGAATGTCGTAAATCATAAAAATTGTGGAAATAATAATAATTAAGAGCTATAATTTTACAAAATACATTTATATGACAGACGTTTTTTATTGTGTCTTGTTAATGTCAGGGACTACTAATATAGGAACAGATAAAATTCATCATAAAATTAACGGCGTTAAATTTTTTTATCACTGAAATAATCATGAGTGAATTTATGGTTCAGATATTAAAAAATATGTGTGGTGTCGTGGGACACCGGATAGGAACGAAGTTTCTTATTATAAAAATATTAATTTAAGTTCTATTTGAGCTATAAAGAAAATAAAACTGGAGGTTTCGCAACAACCCACGGCCATTCGGTAACGTGCGAACTTATTGTGGTACACTTCATTCACGGTTATTTGCATAAGAGTTAGCGTATTGCGCAAACGAACGCTCTGAGATTGTGGTCAATGAATGATAAAAAAAAATGTTATTTTTTGTACGTTATTTCAAAGTTAAGCCGTACCATGTGTGCAATACTAATAAAAATCTTACGTTACGGACGTTTTTTCCCGTTCAGTGTACCCCTCCGCATCGTCCCATAAGGAACTTCATTCCAAAAATAATCAATTATTTTAGCAACATCAGAAACTGTAATGTACGTTCTACATATAACCATAACATAACATTGTTTATTCCAGGTCAATACTCTCTTGTAGAACCAGACGGTTCTGTTCGCACGGTCGACTATACCGCTGACTCACTCCACGGCTTCAATGCTGTGGTTTCCAAAAGCGGCCCGAATGTGCATGCAACACCTGCTCGAGTTGCACCACCCGCTCAAGTGGCACCTCCCGCTCCAATTGCACCTGCAGTCTTACCCTCACCACTACCTAAAGTACAACCCACCGTACAACCTACCATACAACCGGCAGTGCAGTATGTGCCCAAGCCTGTACCCGTACCAGTAGAGGTCCCGAGGAACGTTCAGCCAGTGTACCCAACACAGGTGTACCCTCAACAAACGTTCCCGCAACAGGTGTACCCTCAGCAAGCTTACCCTCAGCAAGCTTACCCTCAGCAAGCTTACCCACAGCAAGTGTACAACGACCAAGCCTTCCCACAGGTTTATCCTTCACCAGGACCACTTAGTGAGTATTTTTTGATAAATTACTATACATCGTCTCTACATTAAGTTTTTTTTTATAGTGCTTATATGGGTGAACGAGCTTACAGCCTACCTGGTGTTAAGTGATTACTGGAGCCCATAGACATCTACAACGTAAATGCGCCACCCATCTTGAGATATAAGTTCTAAGGTCTCAGTAAAGTTGTTCACCCTTCCCCACCCTTCAAACCGAAACGCATCACTGCTTCACGGCAGAAATAGGCAAGGCGGTGGTACCTACCCGCGCGGACTGAAGAGGTCCTACCACCAGTAATGACGCAAATTATAATTTTGCGGGTTNATGTACCACGAACACAGAAACAACAAAAGGAAACAAAACAAATAAAAACTTCCAGAAAGAGCACTTAGTCGGCAGATGTACCACGAACACAGGCCGCGCGAACAATGGCCGGGCTAACAAAAGCCGGGCGAACAAAGACCGGGCGATCGAGTGGACGATGAGCACGTCCGCACGTGACGGGTGCCTCTATCGGAATGACGCTAGAAGTATGCTTGCAAGCAAATCTCGTTTAGACGATTTGTAGCGAGAAGGCGTTTTCTGCAGGCGTTTTGTATTCTATCTCGAGCAATAAATACTTCTGTGTACAATTTCATTGTAATATTAGTACATAGGTATTCATAGCTAACAAAATTTTTTATTCTTAATTTATTTTTCCGTTTTGTTTTAGTGTTTATTTGGTTTTTCAACAATTTAACATTTTTCTCTCCGACTCATCGTTTGAGCTCGGCCTATCTCCTATAAATTGGTGAACTTGCTTATGAGCCATCAAGTATTAAGTGGTACCGCTCGATTAGCCTGCTTATGTCTCTAGGCAAACTGTATGAGCGTCTGCTGTACAAACGTCTCACAGACTTCGTCTCATCCAGGGGTATTCTCATCGATGAATGATTCAGATTCCGTGCAAATCACTCATGCGTACAACAGGTGCTGCGCCTCACGGAGCACATTCTTGTAGGGCTTAACCGACCAAAAACACTCTACACGGGAGCTCTCTTCTTCGAGGTCGCAAAAGCGTTCGACAATGGTTTGATTTTCAAACTATTCTATGTAGAATAGTTTGAAAATCAAACCATTGGGCGAGTTATGGAATAGTTTGAAAATCAAACCACCAATCAAACGCCCATGTGGGCGTGCCGGATAGTCTCGTGCTCACCATACGGGACTTTTTGTCGAACCGCTCTTTTCGATATCGAGTCGAGGGAATTGTCTCCTCCCCGCGATCTCTCACGGCTGGAGTTCCGTAAGGCTCTGTCCTCTCGCCGCTCTTATTTAGTTTATTCGTTAACGATATTCCCCGGTCGCCACCGACCCAGTTAGCTGTATTCGCCGACGATACGACTGCTTACTATTCGAGTAGAAACAAGTCCCTAATCGCTAGGAAACACCAGAGCACAGCCGTAACCTTAGGACAGTAGTTCCGAAAATGGAGCATAGACATCAAACCAGCGAAAAGCATTGCGGTGCTATTACAAAGGGGAAACTCCACACGGGCTTCCTCCTGGATTAGGAGGAGGAATCTCACACCCCCGATCACCCTCTTCGGCAACTCATACCCTGGGCCAGGAAGGTCAAGTACACGGGTGGATGCATCCATGACATTCTGCCGCCAACATTATATTATTCCGAGATAGAAATATGGAAAAAACGGCTCAACCGAAGTAAGTCACGCCCCAAACTATTGTCCATATTCCAGAAAACACCTGTGGTACTGAGATAGCAATACTCGAATCGAGCGAAATGGAATCATTCTCAAGCAGTTGACCCGTTGTTCGCTATTGTATTTTGTTTTCGAAATTTCTAGACAGCTACGTTGTGGGCGTTTGTTATCGGATACTTCAGAAAGAATTTGATTTTCGGTACCAACGATTACATTATATGGTCATTATAAAGCTATCACTAGTTGAAGTGCCCGGTTTTCATTCATTGTAACAACTAGTCATTTTGTTTGCCTGCTTGTAATTATTTTTTGTATTAATTCTACACTTTAGAACTCTGTTACGACGTAACACCGTCGTCGTCCTAGACACGTCCGTACGTATCCATCTGATTCAATAACCCTTGCATTAGACGCATTCCCCTCTAGCACTAGGAGTAGAGACCCCGGTAACCGCACTTATCGAACTCGGCAAAGAGTTCGACGTGCAACCTAACCTAAGCATCAGCCCGTTGAGTTTCTCGCCGGATCTTCTCAGAGGGTCAGGATTTCGATCCGGTAGTAGATTCATTCGCGAAGCAGCTACTCTTAAGTTGTTAGGTCTCCCTTGGAGGTGCTCGGGTAGTTGTTAGCAAAATCCCGCCCCTTCTGGCTGAGCCCTTGCTCGCCCACTTGTCCATGTGAAACTGGAAAGGCCTCTGGGCCACCAGTATGCCCTCAAAAATGAAAAAAAAAGTTAAGTGGCCATCAAAGCCTACAGACCGCACATGGTCACAAGCTATCACCCACTCTTTATCGCCACCAACCCAAGATTTATTGTGATATCTGAATATATGTTCTACCTAACAAACCGTAAACTTTAATTAATGGTCGAAACAAAGAGATAGACAATACTAGCCGCAAATAGGTAATGTGGTACTACCGGCACAGCTACAAATCTAAAAATCAAAGATAGTCCTTGTGCTAATTCACGACCCTGTTCATCGACTTTTAGTGGACGGTTTTGTTTTACTGGATTAATGAAAAACCGTGCAATAACGTGCTCAGCAATTTTTTCTTGGAAAACTGTGGCTTCAGTTTCTGTGGGCGGCCACCCTTCTTCACCACTCGACAATTCTCGGAATATGTAACTATCTGTTGAACACGCGAAACTACTCATTTACGAATTACGTAATTCATTCCGTGCATATGTTTACTATGATTTTTCCCTTCATCTTTTGGCGGCAATTTTAATATTGCCACAGATTATCAATTATTAAGCAGCAGCCTCAAATAAGGATTTATAGATATGTACCTAACCTTTTGCAATATAGACGGCGCTACCCGATGACTTGCGGCTAGCGATAATCAACTCTCGTTATTTAAGTTCTGATGTGTACGTGTTGGAATGCTTAATTTAAACAACAAACTCCAGGGATGCCCAGGAAGATAAGACGAAAATTATGGTTGTCAACGACCCTAGAAACGGATATAATTAAAATCTCATCAGAACTTTCAGTGTAGATGACAAACCGTTTTTAGTTAATTTCGGACTTAGGGAGATAATGAAGATCTTGAAAAGTTATTTCCGCAAGAATAGAGAGGCCATCAGTAGAAATCTATCGATTAACTCGTTACGAGTACATTACGATTTTAAGTCATACTGTCATTCGTGATGTAATTAATATTTACGCTGTATAATATTTACGTAAGCTTTACGCTGAGTAATAAGACCTTTTTTCACCGTGACTATAACCTGGAGAGTCACCAAAGCTTGTTAAGTAAAACTAGCTAGGACAATGTTGAGTGTGTGGTGGATCTATGCGAGCGTTATCCTCTAGAGATTGCTGCCGGTGCTTATTATCGATAGTTACAAACGGTGATAGAAACCTCTTCATTGAACAACCAACATCTGGCTATTGTTCTAGTTTCTTTTACTGACAGGACATCGTTCGATTACATGTTGCCCAACAGATGGTCACCAAATTAGAAGAGTTGTGACGGAAATACTCCGATCGAAATAATTGCGACTGCGGACTCCAATTGTTAATTTGTTTGTTATTTTTTGTTGAGAACGATAAATTCAAACACAAAAAATAACATCATAAGGTTTTTAAGGCCTTCAATCTTGAAGTCAACAATGAACGTTTCTTTAAATTTGTTAATTCTTTTAAGTTTTATATCTGTTTTTTAAGTTGTTTCTACACGGGAAAATGCCAGGAGTCAGCCCGGCTTCAAGGTGGCTCTTGTGCGCCGCTCACGGTGTGTCTCCCGAGACGAGGTTCTACGGGATTTTCCCGGGGATGAGATCCCGTCTTAACATTAGTACGGGTACCGCCTAAGGCGAGACTTTCGGCGCGCACCGCGGTACCGTAAGTTTCGTGTAGTCGGTGTGGTGGAGCTCGATGGGATTTAGTCGGTAGTCGTTCTGCGGGGCAAGTGCTTCGCGCGCCTTTCTCAAGGCGTAGTCTCCTGTGAGAAATTAGGGGAGGAGAAGGACCTCGGCCCTTTTCCTCTCAGGAGGCGCCGGAATCCGATATAACCCGGTTCGTTACTCCCCTCGACCGGGTATCCGTAAATGGATTCCCCAGCGATAAAAAAAAAAGGAGTCAGCCCGAGCGCGTTGCTAGTTTAAAATAAAATAAGTATTATATATTAGCAATTTAAAATATTAGCAAAACAGAGTTAAAATGTGTTGGTATTTTATCGAAGATTTTATCAAGATTATGATTGCATAAATTGATCAAACTGTTTAAACAGGTATGTATATTGCCCAACATAAGATAATCTAAATCGAATGAAAACGTATTAAGATTAAAAAATACATTTAGTTTACACATAGGAGATATTGAGTTGCTGGTTGTGAAATGAAGAAACAAGCTTTTCTAAAATTCAATTTATAGTTATTCTGTTAACAGGATTTGTGATTTAATATTGTAATTTTATAAAATACAGATACTTAATTGTTAATATATTTATTGAGAACCCGCGTGGGTATATTAGCGAGTAGCAGACACGAACTCCGATTTGAAAGGTGATCTCATGTCACACGAAAAGTAATGCGGTGTATCTAAGACCTCCTGTAACCATTTCCATTTCCAATCAAAAATACTAAGACTAGTTTGAAGAGAATACCTGTTCTGTGGTAGGCAGCGGTTCTCCTATATTCTTGGAATTTCTGATGGCCATAGCGACAGCGTAAAGCTTATGTTAAAAGAAACTTTATTATTAACTACGTTGTAGTGCCTGTAGGCTCATCGTTAGCAAAATTTTAAATGCAAGGCTTGCTAAGCGGGCGCATTAAAAACTCAAGAGTTGCATTGTCAGTGGTTTTGACTATTGTACTACGTGGTTTGGGTTATCCAGGGCCCTGAAACTGCGATACTTTAAGATATTTTTTTTTGTATGGAAGCTATCGACATCTTGTAGCGTATGCCCCTAAACTTATATGCTGTTAAAGTTAAGGCATTTAATTATTGTATAACTAAATACAGAAATTAAAAAAAATAACAAATCATACAAGTCTTTATTTGTTATAGACAAATTGATAAAATTTTGTAAATTTGTGGTTTCTAAAAATTTATAAAATCCTTCATTAAAAATAAAATATAGGATAGGTAATATGTTACACGCGATGAGGAAGACACGGCGGAATACACATTGTGCGTTGCTCTGGATTCGACGAGCAACGCGCCACCCTCGTCGTGGTCATAGGAGAGGGCCTCTCGCTGCCGCGCGTCGTGGCTACGATGCTCGGCAGCGATGAGTCCTGGAAGGCGATGCTTGACTTCTGCGAGTGCATCATATCGCAGAAGGAGGCGGCGGAACGAGAGAGGGAGAGCTCTTCCTTCTCCGCATCAATCCGTCGCCGTCGAGCCGGGGGTTGGAGGAGACAGTACGAGCGTATGTCCCGACCTCTGTAGGTGGCGGCTTCCCCCCGGTGACGGTCACGGGGCGACCTGAGAGGGTCGAGGTCACGCGGCGCGCTACCAGCACTCTAGCGTGTCACCGAGGAGATACAAAAGAGCAGCGTATCGCGTCCTGACCCGGCAGGCTGGTTCTGGTCCAGTGGGGTATTCCAGGACACCTTCTGTCCGACGGTCTGTCTGACGGGCGGCCGTACCGAGATGCCCGACGTTTCAGAGCTTTCGATTCGCCTCGAAGGCTCCGTCGGCGGGCGTCCTTGGGGTGAGCTGCGCAGTCTGGTTGTAGTGTTGACCACGGTAACCCCCTTACCTCATCCGGGTTCTGACCT